TTCTCCAGTAAAAACACATGTCCCTTGAAAATAAATGGTTGGTCCGTACGGGATTAGGTAACAGTAATTGTGTCTCAACAATCGTAATTATCAGAACATAAAATAAGATCTATCATTACGTGTAAGAGGGAATCTAGTCATATCTTTATACACTTGCACAGATATATAAGATAAGATCTACCATTACGTATAAGAAGGCATCTCAGTACAGTCATATCTTTATACACTTGCACAGATATATAAAATAAGATCTATCATTACGTGTAAGAGGGCATCTCAGTAGTCATATCTTTATACACTTGCACAGGTATATAAGATAAGATCTATCATTACGTGTAAGAGGGCATCTCAGTATAGTCATATCTTTATACACTTGCACAGATATATAAGATAAGATCTATCATTACGTGTAAGAGGGCATCTCAGTAGTCATATCTTTATACACTTGCACAGATATATAAGATATTTTTTTATTTCCAATTATGGGCCCCAAAGGGCATAAACATTACAACATCAATAATTTTTCATATAAGATAAGATCTATCATTACGTGTAAGAGGGCATCTCAGTATAGTCGTATCTTTATACACTTGCACAGATATATAAGATAAGATCTATCATTACGTGTAAGAGAGCATCTCAGTAGTCATATCTTTATTCACTTGCACAGCTATTAAATAAGAGGAAAGAAGATACCGGTACATAGAGGACAATAAAAAAGGCGAAGAAAGACATACAGGCAACATCATGACAAGAAAAAAACATACACTAACAACAGCTTCACTAAAAATATACCGAAAAATACAGACTGCACAACACAACCAAACAAAAACGGAGGGTTAACTTAGATGCTGTGGAAGGTTAAGCAGTGTCTGCTCCTCATGTGGCACCCGGCATGTTGCTCATGGTTTGTAAATATCCTGTGATAAGTAAATAAATCAATACAATTTTATCTCATTAGCCAAAAGTAATCTTCCTGAGTGTTCTCGAAATATGCAAAATATACATAAGGTATATATTCGCCTTGACGGTCTCGTTGTAGCGTGCGCACATTGAGTGCGGAGGGTCGTTGGTTTGATCCCCGGCCTGATAAAACCGAAGACTTGAAAATTGGTATTTGTTGCTTATCCGGCAAGCACACGGCATTGCAGGTAAGAGCAAAAACTGGTCAGCTGAGAGTCTGAACAATTTACGAAAAACAAATATGACAGACATGAACCAACGACAACCACTAGACAACAGGCTCAACTAAACTGTTTCGATGATTTGGAATATTTTACTTCTGAAGGCAAATTATTCCATATTCCAGAGAAAATTAGTGTTTTATAATTCCTATTAGTGGTCTTTGATTTTGGTAGGTGTAAATTTGTATTGTTGTTAATTTGTGACACTTACATATTGAAAATTTCCTTCTAAATAAGAAGGCGCCAATCTATTTAAAGATTTGAATAACATAAGAGTTTGCTGATATTTAACCTTTTTGAAATCATTAGTCCATTTTAAACTATTAAATAGTAATGATGATATGGTTAACACATCAGCTTCTATAATAGTCATTGCTGACCTTTTAACATTTATCTCTAGAAACAGTTTCAAAGATAAGGAATCTTTTACTTCCGTAGTTGACCACCAGGGTACATTCATGTTTTCTTCGTTATATTGGATTGTATTGGCAGGTGTAAATTTGTATTGGAAATAAAACGAAACTGATAATTTGGAACGTTTACATATTGAAACATCTTCGCTAGCCAAGGTTTACGATCAAATTCCCCGTGGAGAAGAGAGGACTGGGTCGTAACCCTTGGTTAGCGAAGATGATATTGAAAATGTCCATCACAATAAGGAAGTGCCATTCCATTTAAAGATTTGAATATCAGTATAGCTTTCTGACATCTATTTGTTTCTCTCTCAATATTTATCAATTTTAAGACTATTAAATAGTAATGACGATGGTGTTATTTTCATATCAGCTTCTAAAATAGCCCTTGCTGACCTCTTCAACAATTAGTCTAATTTTTATCTATACAAAACAAATTTACTATCATCATTTTAAAAAGATGGGGCTGTATAAACCTGACAAAGTTTGATTTGTCCAATATATCTGTACAAAATATAGATTCCCCCATAATGTACAACATTAATAATCTATTAAGTTCTCTTAAGTCGCATTCGTCGATGTTATAAACAGGACTGTGGCTTATATCCTTGTTATTTATACCCAATAACCCATTAGTGAAAACCATATAATGGTGTCCGTAACAGTTTCAATAATTATGATGAATATAAACCTTTCATTCAATAGGTTCTATTCAATAGCAAACTTTTTACTTTGTACGAGGAATCATAAGAAACTCAATATAAATGTCTTACAAGAATTAAATATATTACAAATATTTTATTTGTATACCAGTGTCCATTTCGACTTGAGCTCTTCTTTCAGCCTTTGACAAAATAAGCACTTTTTGTCCTTACATAAACAAATGAATCATATGTGCGTCATCGACTTAACACCAATGTAGATTCGCCCTCATTAGCGCTTCAATATTTTCCTACGACCAGTTTAGCGAGTGTCATTTTTCAAAAAGCCTCTTCAGTAGTTAACAACTTAATACACACACCCAGCATGCGGCTATATTATATACCATTCGAAAACAACAAATTATCTTTACTTTCTGTTTTGCCCGGTCTTCTTTTCTGGATTGACCTGTTTCGGGCACGCTTAAACCTAGACATTTGAAACGGCAGGACTGCGTAAATGCGTTGCGGCAACATTAAATCGAGGCCAAGAATGAACATTCCTATTTCTTTCCAAATTATTTGTTCTTTTGATTTAATAACAGTGCGAATAACTCATTCTTGTACTTGCAATAAGTGTTTGGTATCAATTGACATAATTTACAAGTTACACATAGATTATACAGAACTACAGGCACCGGCACAGCAAACGAGTTGGGAAGTATACACACCATAAGAAGGGACCAAATGAACATTACCGTTCGAAAAAGGGAAAGTAACAATAGGGAACGAACATTCGCCTCTTTAGTCGTAATTTTTTTATAGAGTTTCCCGTTTGAAACTAGAATATCAAAATCTAGAAAAGGAATTGATTGCTGTTTATATTGAATTTACTTAAATTCAGTTCACTTGGGTAAATTTCCGGAATATAGGAATACATATAACCTGTCGATAAATTTTATTGCAAAGACATAGAAAGCATATTATGTATATATGCAATGATCAAAACCCAAACCTTTCAATTAACTAAATGTATACGACATATGTGTATACGGTACAGGGATGAAAAAATGTGAAACGATTCAAATGAGAAAAGCAACGAAACTTTGTTTAAAAATCTGTAACATAAAAAGGACAAAAAAAAATAGGAGGCCCACGTTCCAATCTGAAACAATGACCACTACAGTCTCATCCCCTGATTAAGCGACTGTAGTGTGGCGATTTGGAAAAAAATATTTGTCTGTACAGGCACTGGCAAATATATTTACACAGAATCAGCAAAAAGTTCAGATTTTGGCAATTATACCAGAAAAAGACAAGATAGTAGCGATTTACATTGCCATACAAAAGCAGTGATCATAATGTATCATTTTTTTTATGACAGAAAAATAGACGCAAGTAGGATTTCATTTAAAAACCATTAACTGCATCTGGAAAACTTAACGTTTACATCTATTAGAATCCGGGTCTGTTCGCCCAAAAACACGTTCGCGCCCATTCACGTTCGCCCCCTTTCACTTTCGCACCCTACACATTCGCAACCAAAGTCCGTTCGCATCCTACACGTTCGCGCCCTTTTTATTGGTTTTGTGTTTAATAATTTTGTAATCGAGTTTTGGTAAGTGTATTGCTGTAAATATTTTTTTTTTCATTGTTTCAAAATAAAGTGAGATTCTGACAACATTTTTTTGTGTTGAATAAATCTTTATCATGTTTTGGTTAGTGTATTGCTATAAAAAAAAATCATTGTTTCTAAAAAAAGGGATATCGAGATTCTCACAACGTTTGTGTTTTGTGTTGAATAAATCTTAAATTATGTTTTGGTTAGTGTTGTGATAATTTTTTTTTTTCAAAATAAATCATTGTTTCAAAATAAAGTGAGATCAAAGGGGCCAAGCTGTTAAAATCAATTATCTTTCATGTTTTTCTGTTAATATCTTCAATGTTTTACTCATACCAAGCTAAATACATGCAGTATTTACATCAAAGCAAGTTGAAACAACAATCATGATTTTCAAACACACAACAATAATACCAAATTTAGCTGTGTATAAAACGAATAAGATTGAAGAATATTGTCTCATCTTTCAAAACCACTTTTCTGTTAAATAATAATGCTCTGAGATGTAACAACACGTGTTTTTATGAACCGCACTATTTATAGACTCAGCTGTCAATTTTGTCAATATCCGGTTCTATTTTAAACGAAAGAATTAGCAGTAATCATTCATTTGTACATAATTAACATTTATTAATTAATCATCAAATTGATAAAAAAAAAACATTCATATAATAATTCCCCAATTTTTATTCAGGAAAATATATTTTTTTTTGTATGTATACATATTATATAAAAAAAATCTAATAATTCAACTTGAATTTGAATAAGAATTGGGTGCGAACGTGTAGGGTTCGAACGGACCTAGGGGGCGAACGTGTGAGGTGAAAACGTGTAGGGTGCGAACGGACCTAGGGGGCGAACGTGTAGGGTGCGAACGGACCTAGGGGACGAACGTGTGAGGTGCGAGCGCGTATTGGGTGCGAACAGACTTGATACCAATCTAATACATATATATAGGGTCGCTGGTCTCACTGCTTTCTGTTTCAAAGCCTGGGCAATTAACGTTCTATTTTATAAATTAAAATCAAATTTCTTGTCAACTATGTTAGTCAATATCATTATTTCAGGGGGAAGTCGCATGTTACATAAATACACGTGACCTAGAACAGGTAGAAAGTAAAACACGTGAAAATCACACACATGTCATCGTTCGGACTACCTCTAGTTTTATCCTACAGATCGAATGTCCTTGACCCCTGTAATATAATTATTGATATGACAATATTATATCATACCTTTTGAGGGAAAATAATCTAAAGAGGTAAACAATTTAACGATATGTATTGCTAAAGTTACATTAATACAATTTTATTTTTCATATGACTTCTAACTTTGGTTCATCCTGATAATGTGTTATTGTTCAGTTGTTTTACAGTTTTGTTTACAATTTTTTGGCTATAGATATAAGATGTGGTATGAGTGCCAATGAGACAACTCTCCATCCAAGTCACAATTTGTAAAAGTAAACCATTATAGGTCAAAGTACGGTCTTCAACACGGAGCTTTGGCTCACACCGAACAGCAAGCTATAAAGGGCCCCAAGAATGACTACTCACTTAGTGTAAAACGCATAACACGAATGACCGAATAACACCGGTAATCACAGAATAACACTTGAAATTTTAATATTAGCACATATTGGTGACATTTAAACATTGATAATTAAATAATATTGTATTATAAGTGTATTTTATAACTTAAAAATGCAGCAGTCCTTACATAGGATAGAGACACATCTGACCAGGCCGATTGTTATCATTCATTGGGACACAAGCACTGTGAACCCAACGATCACAACTACTGCACTGGATTGTGCAATCAACACATTCTTCATCACATTGAACACAAGGATATAAAGCCATTTTAAAAATGGAAGAACAGCACATATGTCTTCACATGTTTTTATACCAAATTTTAGTTACTTGTAAAAACATTAATATTTGCCAATGAAAATCTTTAATTTCTTTTTGAGAATACACACATACGAATCATCCATTCAACTGCTTTGTTTTTATTATGAAACAATCAAGTATAATTAATTTTTTGATTAATTTTAATTAAATATGTGAAAATTCTTAATTACGTTTCATTCAATATTGAGTAAATCGTTAAGAAAACTAATTAGTGATTGGAGTAATTGCATGGCTTTGATGTACTTGTTAACTTTTCGAAACCTTACTGAAAAACAATTATTGGACAGTACTCTGTATATACAGTACATTATTTAATACTTTATTTTCATAGCTTTTCCCTTTGAATGCATATGCAATCATTCTTTTATTCTTCCCATTGTGTTTTCCTTGGTGGCCATGTTGGATGTACACACTAATATTTATAATGATCTTTATGAACTTACCTGCTTTCTATAAATCATTTTTAAGTTATAAAATACACTTATAATACAATATTATTTGATTATCAATGTTTAAATGTCACCAATATGTGCTAATATTAAAATTTCAAGTGTTATTTGGTGATTACAAGTGTTTTTTGGCTAATAACGGTGTTATTTGGTCATTCGAGGTACCGGTGTAAAACCATCCAAACGGGAAAACCAACGATCTAATCTATATAACAACGAGAAACACTTATGAACTACATCAACAAACGACACTGAACATCAGATTCCTGTATGAATAAGTTGTGGATACCATAATTTGGATATCTGTCCATATTACAAAGGGTTTTATGGGGAATTGAGGTACATGTACCGATAATCAGGCTTTTTGTACCATTTCAAACCAACCTGGATTTTCTCCTATTTCACAAGTTAAATACATTATGTACGTTGATCAACTTTAATGCATACCCTCCTTCTAGGTAAAACGGGTCCTTTGCCCAGATTACATGTACATGTTTATCTTTATTGTGCAAGATGACTATTATTGTATGATATGTTTATATGGAGTGTCTATGTCGGTTCTAAAAGCTCTGCTGAGCTAATGTTGTACTGAGTTGTATATACGTACTTGTTGACTTTCAAATTTGAAAACAGACTATAGTTAATGCACAACTTTCTTTTGCTTTACCTGAAAATAACGTCACTATAGCATTGTTTTGAGTGGAAACACATTTGTGTGGTCCGATCACAGGCTTAAATTCAATGAGCATAATTAAATATCTGGTAAACAAAAGGTGAATAAAGGTGACATCCTAAAAAGTTGGTTTCATATGCCTTGTCTACAGAAACATAAGTTGACAGAGTAGTGGGAATGGTGCAAGCAGGAATGCTTCATATTGACGTTACAAATATTTAAGGTGTTGCAAAATTGACAATAACACGACTATAAATGAGTTGTTTAAGATAGAATGGTTCCACTTATGACTGAGCATGAATTGGATGTCCATGAGAAACGAAATTATGTCGAGACTGTCAATTAAGATTTACCAATCTAAGGGATCTGTTGCTGTCTGCTACCATTACTGCCAGACAAACACCTGGGAAGCTGTTCCTAATACATTTTGTAGATTAAAGGATGCTGGTTTACGTTCATGACGTCCAGTAGTAAGAGCCGTTCCAAAACAAAGCCGTCTATTGGAGGACTACATGTATGTTGAGCAAATTTAAGTATGTCTATTCTTGAACCTTGTTACATGTAGGTGGCAAATTGTCCCCTTTAATGATGAAATAGGATTTCATTTGCTTAGAAGTGATGGCAGAATAACTTCAATAAGAGTTTTCAGGCACCCAAATTAATGTTATACAGACACATGTGTTCATGAATGTGATAGCTTTGGTGGCATCTTGGAACAGTTCATGCAATATAAAGACAAAGTAATTGTGATCTGTTTTCTTTGTTAAGTTTGTATGTTATTATGTTATTGTTTTATAAAATACCAAACTGCAATATCATTGTTAAAAATTAAAATGAATATTTTTGATAGATTTTGGGTATTGTTTCTTTTTTTGGCTAGTACATGTATGCATACAAGAATATGGTCACGTTGACATAATTATTCAACATGTAGACTATTTTAAGTATTGAAAGTACTAATGGAACATGTTAAGATTCTTTAACAATAGAATTTAGAAAACTAAATATAACATTGTATAATATTAGGAAAGATCTAAGCTATTTCAAAAGTTATGAGTACTGTAGTACTTTATAAAATTCTGTTACATAATATTTTTTCTTGTTTAAAAGTGCATTTTAAATGCCTCTTTCAGGAAGTTATTAATTCATACAATAAAAATATACTTAGCAGATTACTCTGTCCATCCATATCAAAACTAATTTGAAAAATGTTAATAAAAAAAAGATGTTATCAATATATTATAAGTGCACCTTCTAAAATTAAAATACTAAAAGAATAGTCTGGCTTGTTAAAAAAAATGGTTGGATCTTAGACCAATGATGCTTTGATTTTTATGTCCTCGCTCTTCATGTTGCCACGCATCTACATACTTCCATCTTAAATTTATGTAAAAAAAAATAATATTATTCCTCTAATATTGGTCATTTAGCTTCTGTTGGCAAATCTTACCAAAATAAAGGTTAAAACTCTATATTATAAATGAAGCAACTTACTATGGTAAGTGAAGATATTGTATCAGAATTTTCATGGAAAGAGACAATATTACAATTGAAAAACAAATAACTGAGAACACCTATTGCTAATAATTAAGCGGAATCGTAAGTCTACTCAGAATGGAGGTGACAGATGGATAGGTTATGGTTTCTAGAAATGATTCAGGTACAAAACATCAGTAAAACTTCATTTTCTCAAAAAGACTTCATTTTGTAGCCTGAATGGTTATGTAGTACTGTGCCTTTCAGTTTCAAGGAAAAATATGAGTTTCCACCACCTCAGCCATACTCCGGGAACTAAAGGATTTGTACATTTTCAGTGAAGATGCATTTATGGAAAAGTATTGCATTAGGTCAAACATGTAGGTCATTGTTTTATTAAGATCCATGCGTTTTTCAAACAGTAAAAACTCATTTAAGCTCCCTTTCATCCTGTCTCATTGATTCCCTCAGTTTTTATACGACCGCAAAAAGCAAAAAATGCGTTTGTATAATGCTATCATGTTGGCGTCGTTGTCCAAAGAAACATTTGGTTTCCAGACAATAACTTTTGTTAAAGTGAATGGATCTCTATGAAATTTTACCAGAAGGTTCAATACCACAAAAGGAAGGTTGGGATTGATTTTGGGGGTTATTGTACCAACAGTTTAGAAATTAGGAGCCAAAAAGGGGCCAAAAACAAGCATTTTTGAAGTTTCCGGACTATAACTTATGTTTAAGTGTATGGATCTCTCTTAAATTGTACCACAAGGTTCCATATCACAAAGGGAAGGCTGGGATTGAGTTTGGGGGTAATTGCCCCAAACGTTTAGAAATTAGGGGGAAAAAAGGGGCCAGAAACAATCATTTTTCTAGTTTTCCAAACAATAACTTGTGTTAAAGTTTATGGAAATCTCTGAAATTTTACATTTTTCCTGAAAAGAAAAAAATTCAAATTTTTTCAAACATTTTGTTTTGGGGGGATTTTTTTTTCATAATTTTTTGGGGTTTTTTTTCCAAAATTTTCCATTTTTACATTGATTATATTTATTTCTGATTTATATATAAAAGCAACAAATACTGATATGGCAGGAGATACACACCAAACAGGATGTGTTAATTAATATATATAACAGATTAACTAAGTATTGTGCAACAGCACAGTATTGTGCAATAGCACAGTACATTGCACAATAGCACAGTATTGCGCAATAGCAAGAAATCTTCAATGGAAAATAAATACAAATCTTTTAACCAATTTCAATGGGATTAAATTAGTCTTTAAATTTTGGGGGTTTTATATAGCTAACTTTGTATTACTATCTTGGATATTGGGCCCCATTTTTAAATTGATCTACATTGAGGTCCAAAGGGTCCAAAATTAAACTTTGTTTGATTTCATCAAAAACTGAATTATTGCGGCTCTATGATATGCTGAATCTTATTGTGCATTTAGATTTTTCATTTTGGGCAAATTAGTCCATATAAAGGTTTGAAGGGTCCAAAATGAAACTTTGTTTGATTTCAACTAAAATTAAATTTTTGTGTTTTTTTTATATGCTGAATCTAACCATGTTAGATTTTGGATATCAGACCATACTAGGTAAGTTAGATGTCCCATTTCAAATTTTTAAGATCTTTGACCACATTTATTTTGTGTCAGAATCCTATATTATGTCAAAAATTTGATCACAATCCAAATTCAGACAGTTTCAAGCTTGAATATTGTGTCCAAACTTGCCCCAACTGTTCAGGGTTTGACCTCTGGGATCGTATCAGGCTGCGCATGGCGAAGCATTTTATTTTGTTTTGTTTTTATCTGGGTTTGTATATATTGTGAGTGAATTTGCAAGATTTGAACATCCGTATAGCTTACCTATTGCATCTTATTCATTATTTGTTATTTTACTTTTACATTGTTTTAAATGTTTTCTAATTACATGATCAAATTGAAGACAATATTTAAATGCTATTGTATGAGCATCTGAATATCTCATTGTCAAAAAGATTGTGAGGATCAAGTCCCTAGTCGTGCTAGGGTAAATTTGAAGTTGCTTGGTATTTATCATTTGATTTTTTAGCAGTACTTGGTAAAATCTGTTTCATATGTCGTAATAAGACAGCCCATCACATTGCCTTGTTTGATTCTCATACTGGAAAGACATATCAAGCATATTTTTAGAATGTGGAGTTTTAACAGATATGTTGACTGAAAGAAGAAACAAATAAATGGAAACAATGTCAATGAATGAGATATGTCATCTACACATTTTTATTTTGCAGAATGGAAACCTCTATATAAAAGTAGGATGTGATTAACTTGCTTCGAGCAGAAGCTGAAAATCAATACAGATCTTTCAAAAGGTCTGTAGATTATTACGCACATTACAATTGTTAGCATAATTTTACACCTGATATTTAGCATGCAAAAATTTGGATTAGATAGAAAAATAAGGAATACAAGTGAAATAGTTTATTTGTAAAAGTAGTACATTCGTTAAAAAAACTGTTTAGGATTTATTTATTATTGACGCATACTATAGTGTTAATTTTGTGTGTGTGACAGTTTAATTATTAAGGTAGTAATATTGCAGTGACTTGTTAGATTGTATTTCTTTATTGTTGACACATTCATAATATGTGTAATTAATAACATCTAAAGAAAAGTTTTTTTTGGAATATATAGTACACAATGTGTTACTCAGGTAAAGTACAATTACATAAATTAACATTATTAATGTTGTTATCTAAACTGCTCACATGTCAAAAGTCACATTTATTCCCTGTTTTCGATAAGCTAATTGCATGCATTCCCAAGATGGCCCTTGTTTAACTGGTACATTTTAACCATGCTTCTGAGCTTTATTTGTCAAAATAGAAATAGCATGAAAATTTTTTTTATATGTTCCTAAAAAACCAAAGGTAAAATAAATCAGTTTTATGCTGTTTTCTGAAACTAACAGGAACAGTGTAGTCTGGAGAATAATTTGGAAAAGAAAATGATTTATGAATTTCTTTCAATTGTGATTACATATAGACTTTCGTTACCTCTGTTGTATGTACACACTAAGTCACTAGACGAAAGATATGACTCAAAACGAAAGGTATATCCAAATAACAACACACCACAATGTAACTTAAAAAAATTATTAGATCATAAGCTTACCAAAAATATCAACAACACACCACGTTCTATAATGAAAATATATTAGGGATTTGTGTCAGTATTTCCATTTCCCATGAAAGCACATTGTTGCTTGATGAAATATTAAACTAAATACAAATAACTTACAGTGTAAATGAAACTGGACCAAAATCTATCATTGTCTAATGTAAGGATGTTAAAATACAATGTAGTATCACCGGAAGCAGACACTTACTATGCAAAGAGTGAAAGTGATGAGTAGGTCCCTATTTGCAGCTTCAAGGTATATATGGTCGAGAAATTAAGGTGAAATATATGACAAGGTTGCTGGATTAAATCATAAGTTCCTGAAACTATTAAATCAGATGTCGGTTTATTTCATATGTGCATTTATAAACCGTTGTTGTTAATAACAGTAATTGCCTAAGATATTCGACAAATCTATTGATCTCTCCACGGAATAACCTAATCAAAATAGCTTTTGATATATTGTTGTTAAAAAAATATATATGATAAGGTTTGTACTTTTGTCATTCAAGATATAGGAAAAGAGTTGGGTACTGGACGTCTCAGCTGCTCAATATCTTATAAATTATGTAAAAGTTATACATGGTGTCCTTGAATTTTTGTCAATTTTTCTGCATGTGAACTTGTTTTATATTGATTTTTGTTTGTTTCAGAAACCATTAGATACCAATAACAATCAAACCATGGACTGGAATAGAGGAGGATCACATTGTATCATGAATGTTGGTGTCAACAGCATGTGTAGTAACCTTGGTTACTTAGAAGATGGGGAATATATCACATCAGATGATTGTGAAGGTACTTTTTTATACCCTTTTTTGGGATAAGTTTCCCTTTATTTATAAGTAAGAAAGTTTAAACTGTTATACATTACTTCTGTAGTATGGTATGGGTAGTAATTATAGCTCATCTTCCCTGCATGCCTTATACATACATGTACCATAATAGATTTGCAATATAATTTTTATTTTCTACTTTACCATGTTTGCTGATATTTTTGTTGTTGTTTTTTTTTAAACTTTTACCTAAATAGTACACGTCACCAAGCTTTGTTTTCAAGCAGATACGTCTGCAAAGTTCTATTTTTATTTAAAATTATGAAGTACATGTACAGTCAGGGGCATTACATAAACAAGTATCTTTCAAAATTACCTATACAAGTTATGTTGAAAAAGAGGCTATTTTAAATATTACTTATTTAAGTAAATATTATTTTTATAGGTGTCCATTCATACAGATTTTACTAGCTTTAGCTAATTTTCACAGACATCTGGTTATTTTTCCAGTGATATATAAAAACTAATCCTCCCGAAACACTAATTGCCTTTCTGACACACTTACATTCCAAAGTTTGGTCTCTTGGGACTATTAAAATATCATTTTCCTTGAAAATCTTAAAGGTAGACAGATATGAATAGATGGAAACTTGTGAACTAATTAAGACTTGAAGTTATTTATAATTTGTAACCCAAAACAATTACACGTGTTCCTTAAAAAATTTTCATTACTAATATTTTCAAAGATGTATAAAATAACTCATACAAGTAATATTTTTGTCATTATTTTTTAAGTGACCTTCTGTCTCTATACTCCTCTCAAATTTAATAAATTCTTAATTTTATGTAATAAATTGATTTAAAAATTCATCAAAACTACATTTAGTCCATGCTTCTATTGAAATTTAGAATAACTCTATTGAGTAATTTGATAATTTTTAAAAACAAAAATTTCCTATATAAGTAACTAAAAATAATAACTTGTTTAAGTAACACCCCTGACTGATGTAGGAAAGCACAGTTTTGTCAAAGGAAAAAACCTTTATGATGGAAATCTGAAATGATATAGGAAAAGATAACTGGAGTCAAATACTCAAAGGAAATAGATAGAAACAAACAAAATTGTGTCACCATACCTGGTATTCTTACTACTTACTACATACTATGTATTATAGATATATTCACCTGGCTTTTGTTGAAGACCTCTAGACGTCGTTTTAAATGTCTGGGATGATCCTTGATAGTTTGCAATCTCATCATCTCATTGACATCTTAAGAAACTAAGGTTTCAACTACCTGAAGGCATAGTTGACTTCAGATGGATTTGGCTATTATCTTTAGGTCCTTTTGGTCATAAAGCTCCAACTATTTTGGTTTTATTTATCTTAAGTTTTCAAATATTCTGCTTTGAACGTTCATGATGAAGATAAATCCTAAAAAGTGTTCTGGTTGCATGAAATTTATAAAGTGTTGTTTTCATTTCTTACCCACATTTCCTTTAAAGTTTTATAAGGGTGATGCACTTTCACATTAAACCCCAAAAAATCTAAAATTAGACCTCTAATCATGAATTTTGTTGTTTGAAATGAAGGCTTTTACATTGATTTAATTTGAACAAGTTTCTACTTGATTTTTTCTGATATTTATTTTGGTTCTATTATTCTTTAATATTATCATTTCTTTCCATATGCAGGTGTACAAGAAGAATGATTTTGACTTAAGAATGTTCTTGCACGACTATAAATTTAGGACTGAGAATGGGAAAATGACAATATTGGCTTGTTGGAATAGCCTATCTTGTTTCAAAGCAATCATGTTTGATCATATTTTTATGCATTAGTATAGAATTTAAGTTTTTCTTCTCATATTTCAGATACATTGATAGAACTTTTAAAGAACCTTCAAGAAGAAAACCCCATACAGAGAGCATACAGGAGGCAGCTATGTTTCTCCAGAATCATAGAATTGGTAATATTTTAAGATTACAACTTACTTAATTCATAAGGCTCAAAGTAGATATAGGACTTCATACTATCAGCAATGACAAAAAAGCCAGCTTAATTTTGGGACTTTATTTTGGTAAAGTAAAATTATTATAATATTATAGTTTCCAGTTTACATTTGCTTTATTCTAATGACACTCATGATTTCAGCTTTGAGTTTTACCTGAGGACTTACCACACAACACACTATCTGGAAAAACCCTTCTTAGCTAGTGGGTGCTTTTTATCATGCAATCTTGACATTTTATTCTCTGTTCAACAACCCTCAACAAAGACTCTTTACATTGAAAATATTGGGCTACCATTTTCTGTCTTCAAGTTTTTGTGTCCTTTTATAATTTTAAGGTGGATGATTTTATTATTTAAATTTGATAGTTAAATACACAAAGTCATTTTGTGTTTGAAATTTACCACTATGAAATGCAAATGTTTTCTCTTAATGGCTGTTTTTCAAATTTAAGCATATATCATGCCCCAGTCTGCTTAAAGAAAAGAAAATTAAATAAAAAAGTTTAACATTTATCATTGTTTATGTATATAGATATTTATATATTAAAGACCAAGAAAGAAGAACTGAAAAGAGCCACATGCAAATTATTCCTGTTCACAATGAATTAAACCTAAATTTAGAATCTGGTCAGTCAGGTCTTATTTGTCAGATACACCCTACTCTATTCCATGTGTATCATACTACAAGAATATTCTTTGCTAGTGTACATGTTTTGTAAGTCTGCATTTGGAGTACTTGGAAATATTTACTGCAAATCAATTTTGTGTATCAAGAAGTTTTAGTGAATTTGTTTTTTAACTGATTGATATATTTACAGGATATCATTCCACTGATAAAATATGTCAGAGACCAACCAGAGATATTCAGTGCTGCAATAAGGTAAATAGCATATTGCTCAGTTGTAGGATTGTATCAGAATTTCATTGTACCAGTACAAGCTGTAGTGATAATGTTAGTCAGGGACTAATTTGAGATATGTTGTACTGGAAATTCATTAACATTGCAATATGTTTCTATGTTTTGAAGTGGATTAAAAAAAAATGTAAACCCCTGACCTTTGGTGAACAGATAGACTCTAGCAAATCAAAAATGGTTGAAGACCCTATGTTGACCTCTAAAGTCTTATTTCTGTCATGTTGGGTTGCTGTTTCATTGACGTATACCCTACGTTTTTTATGTATTCACAAGTTCCAAGTCAAGAGCCAAGTGCAAGTTATATATATTTTGTTTTCCTTTTGCAACTTTGGTGTTGATTGCATATCTTTGATAGTCTTTGATATAAAAGAAAGTAGAAGATGCCATGGGGAAATCAAACACCATTAGTAAAAAAAGAAATGAAACAGACAACACTATGGCTAAAAGAAAAAACAAAAAAACAAAAAAAACACTTCACAAAACATTCCACAGAAATCTAAAAATTAAACATTTCTGTTGCTGAAGACAATATTGACCCTGTAGATGTATTTTTTGTGGTGTTGGATTACTGTCACATTTGAATATATCCCAAATTTCTCATTGTTAAAACAGCCTCCTCCATTAAAATAAATTCTGTTTTAATAAATATGTTTGATTCTTATTAAACTAATGATACATGATATATACTTACTCAGGTTGCTTGCCTCACTGATCCAACCAGTTGAATGCCTGATATTAGGTATACCTGTTGATGTTACATTGCCATGGGTTCCTGATGTGAAGAGAATGCTATTTACCACAAGAAAGCTGTGTAATGATAAAGACTTGATTCAAGCTATTGTTACAGAGATTATGACAGTTATCACTGATGTAAGTGGATACAATGTAGATTCTACCACTGCATTGAGTGTGATACGATATTTCTCCGCATGTAACAATAAAATTTTCAAATTTAAAATGCTAGTCTTGCCGAGCGTTTTTAATATTTAAGATTAAATTGTTCATAGAGGAGAAATTCATTCCATCCTTTGAATAAATACAATAGGTGTCTTGTGCCGATAATTACATTGACTGCTGCAATTGATTCAGTGGACATTACTTTCTATCATAGAATCTCGAACAGTTTATAAATTGATAAAATATATAATATTATTTAAACACTTGCTTATTTAAAAGAAGATCAAATTCGCCTACAAAAGATCAAAAGGTCAGGATCTAGGTCAGGAATATAAAGTCACACTATTATATTAAAGATTTAGTTTTTTTTTTTGTGGATATAGTGATAATATTAAGAAAGGTTATACAATATATGTTTTAAACTTTCACACATTCTTATTTTATGTTTTTATGAAAATGTTCACAGGTAAATTTGTCACTTAATTTTTGGCCTGCCAAACACGTGAGGGAATAATGAAAACTATATGTCCATCCATCTGGCCTTGTAAGAGCTCTCACACGTAAAATGCTTGCTAGATTTTTAATGAAATTTATATCAAAGGTTTATATCAGAAATATTAAAGTCTATCCAGGTAAAAAATAAGTTCAGATCAACTATTTTTAAAGGAGTTGTGCCCTCTGCACGTCTGTCCTTCCAGTCAATGTCTTGTAAGCACTCTTTACTCTTTCACCAACAATTCTTTCTAGATTTTATTTCTTTCTAAGTTTTAAATCAGCACTGTCTCAAACAATTTCCAAAATTGGTGCTGATCTTTTTTATACGACCGCAAAAAATTTTGCAGTCGTATATTGGTATCACGTCGTCGTCATCAGTGTCGTCCAAAGACATTTGGTTTCCGGACAATAACTTTAGTAAATGTAAATAGAAATCTATGAAATTTAAACACAAGGTTTATAACCACAAAAGGAAGGTTGGGATTAATTTTGGGGGTTATAGTCAGTTTAGGTATTAGGGGCCAAAAAGGGCCCAAATAAGCATTTTTCTAGTTTCCAGACAATAACTTGTGGAACGGTGTATGGATCTCTCTGAAATTATACCACAAACTTCCATACCACAAAGAGATATTTAGGATTGGCTTTGGGGGGTTATGGCTCAAACCGTTTAGGAATTAGGGGCAAAAAAGGGGGAAAAAGGGTTTCCTGGTTAATGGACAATTAAAAAAAAGTACAATGTTAAGTTTGGATTACCTCCCTTACACTGCTGTTAAATTATGTATAAAGAAATGTTGTATTGTCTTGAGGTGATTAGCTGTCAATTTATTTTTAGAAGTTACTATTTAAAAATGCTGATTAAGGAATATTTAATATATTAATTTTAGCCATGATTATGTATGTCATTTTCTATTTTAAGACTTGTATGATGTATTTAAATGGGTAATTATGGTTGCAAACTCCATTGGAAATTTGAATTGAGATTATGACCATACCTTGAGAGAAAGATTTTTTTATTATGGAAAAGGGGGGGGTGAAAAAAAATTGGGGGGGGGGAAGAAATTGTGAGAGGGGACAATTTTTTTCTCATTTCAGATTTCAGAAATTAAAAAGAAAATTTCTTCAAATATTTTTTTTTGGAAAAAAAAGGGGGGGGGGGGGGTCAATTTGCAACAGCATAGTGTATTGCTCAAAAGCAAAAAATTGAATATAAATTCAAAACATATCACCAATTCTAAGTTCTTTGACTACAGTTATTCTGTGTCAGAAACCTATTATGTGTCAAATATTGAATAACAATCCAAATTCAGACCTTTATGAAGCGCGAATATTGTGTCCATTTTTGCCCCAACTGTTCAGGGTTGGACCTCTGCGGTCGTATCCAGCTGCGCTCAGCGAAGCGATTTATTGAAAAGAGCTATAGCCCTTTGGAAAATAAATTATTATGAAAATTGCATTGTTATTTATAGTACTCTCAAGCCTATATTTCTTATAGGATATTTATGAAATTTATATAAAAGGTTTATATCACTAATGTCTTATAAGAGTTAGATAATCAGTGACAATTTACCTTTTTTTTTAAAAGAATCGTAGCACTTTGAAATGTAATTTATATTGAAAATTGAATTGAAATCATTAATATGCTTACAACTACATTTTTGTTGTATTAGAAAAAAATATATTTCACTATTATTGCAAGAGATATGTTCCTTTGAAATAAAATTTTATGGAATATTGCATTTGAAGTGACATTAAATTAGTTAATTTATGAAATTATTTATTTGTCATGATGTCATTTGTTCTCTGTATTGATTGTTCTATTCCCTTTTTCTCTTAGCATGATGGGCAGCCAATGCCAGAAGAAACCTGTGACTTTATCAACAAGTGTCTGCTAGTGTTCAGAAATTTGCTATACATACAAAACATTGAAACCAATCCTAACCAGGAGATTATAGTACTGTAAGTAGATCTGTTTTTGCACAATCTGTAGTTTTTTATAGTTTTGAAAAAAGCATGATATAAACTACATTTTGGCAATTTATTTAAAATTTGTATTGATTTTACTGTCTTAAATGGTTTATTTTACCCATTTTTTTTGCAGTTTAGCTATTTATCTTGAAAAAATATACGGAGAAATGTAAACAGTAAAAATGACTGAAAAGACAAAGGTCAAGCATGAATAAAATTAACTAATTAACTCCTCATAGGAATTATTACTCATTTTTACATTTTTTGCAATCAAGTTAGAAACGAAAATACAAATGTGAAACTGTAACGAGAAAAAAAAGCTGGTCATAATATTCCCTAGGGTCCTTCCTAGGTAAGGGATTCAGGCTCCTTGGAGTCTTATTATTTAAGTCATTATTTGTACCTATGAAAGAAATTTAATATATACAGATAGTTTCAAACTTGCATATTTATGTAAACAAGGAAGGGGGCACTTCAGAATTTGTGCTTATCATATTGTCTTTGATTTATGGCAATCAAATATGCTAATGTATTCAGTAATTTTGCCCAAGATTTGAGTTCATCAGTAATAAAAACAAATAGGAACACTTGTTCTTCTGAGACTTGTTACTTTGGTTCTTTTTTGATAATATAACAATTACATCGTTCAGTAAGTAATTTTTGTCGAGCCTGCAACTTTTGTCGCAGAAAGCTCGACATAGGGATAGTGATCCGGCGGCGGCGTTAGCTAACTTCTTAAAAGCTTTATATTTTAGAAGGTGGAAGGTCTGGATGCTTCATACTTTGTATATGGATGCCTCATGTTACGAAGTTTCCGTCAGTCACATGTCCAATGTCCTTGACCTCATTTTCATGGTTCAGTGACTACTTGAAAAAACAGTTAAGATTTTTTGTAATGTTAGATTCTCTCTTATTATAAGTAATAGGATAACTATATTTGGTATGTGCGTACCTTGCAAGGTCCTCATGCCCGTCAGACAGTTTTCACTTGACCGCGACCTCATTTCATGGATCAATGAACAAGGTTAAGTTTTGGTGGTCAAGTCCATATCTCAGATACTATAAGCAATAGGTCTAGTATATTCGGTGTATGGAAGGACTGTAAGGTGTATATGTCCAACTGGCAGGTGTCATCTGACCTTGACCTCATTTTCATGGTTCAGTGGTTATAGTTAAGTTTTTGTGTTTTGGTCTGTTTTTCTTATACTGTATGCCATAGGTCTACTATATTTGGTGTATGGAATGATTGTAAGGTGTACATGTCTAGCGAGCAGGTGTCACCTGACCTTGACCTCATTTTCATGGTTCAGTGGTCAAAGTTAAGTTTTTGAGTTTTGGTCTTTTTTTCTAATACTATGTGCAATAGTTCAACTATATTTGGTATGTGCGTACCTTGCAAGGTCCTCATGCCCGTCAGACAGTTTTCACTTGACCTCGACCTCATTTCATGGATCAATGAACAAGGTTAAGTTTTGGTGGTCAAGTCCATATCTCAGATACTATAAGCAATAGGTCTAGTATATTCGGTGTATGGAAGGACTGGCAGGTGTCATCTGACCTTGACCTCATTTTCATGGTTCAGTGGTTATAGTTAAGTTTTTGTGTTTTGGTCTGTTTTTCTTATACTGTATGCAATAGTTCAACTATATTTGGTGTATGGAAATATTTTATGATCTATTTGGCAGTCACACAGGTTTTATTTGACCTTGACCTCATTTTCAAGGTTCATTGCTCAGTGTTAAGTTTTTGTGTTTTGGTCTGTTTTTCTTAAACTATAAGCAATAGGTCAACTCTATTTGTTGTATGGAAGAATTGTTAGCTGTACATGCCTGCCTAGCATGGTTCATCTGACCTTGACCTCATTTTCATGGTTCATTGGTCAATGTTTAGTTTACTTGGTTAATGTTAAGTTTATGTGACAGTTGTAATAAAGCTTTATATTTAGGACTATCAACATAATATCAATGATTAGTAAAGAAGGCGAGACATTTCAGCGTGTGCACTCTTGTGTAAAGATAGTACATGTATGTCATCTTAAGATTAAACACACTCACAGTAAATAAATGATCATGTCATTAATATTGATGTACAATAAGTGAAATGATGATGTTTTTTTGCAGGTATTTACTTGAATGTGGTTTAGGTGAACTGATAAACAGAGTAGTTACCTTACCCCAAAGAGTGAGTATGACTAATATATTCAGTAGAATTATGCAGCTCACAATCCTGCAAAACTAATTCATTTTCCCATAGGATCTGATCAACCTTACTTTGTAAGACAAATGAAAAAAGAGCATACATTTCCTCGTTACACATAGGAATAAAGAGGAAAGTGTGGTGTACATGAGATAAAAATATTATGAAACACTAGAAAATAGCCTATTTATAAAAGGAACACTACAGTGCTTTCATTGTGATTTGTGTTAGTTTGCTTTTTTTAGTACCTGATGTTTCCAGGTGATACCTTTTTAATCATTGGTTCAGTTTTCACCAATCTTAGATGAATAATGCCTTATTTGGAGAACAAGACATCTATTGATTTTGTCAAACAAGCTGACAGGTCACAACAGGCATAGAAAGACAGTTCACATCAGGAACAAAAAGACTGATTGGAAAAAAGAATTTGTTATTATTGGCCTGTTCAAGATCTATTGAGCTTCATCATGCATGGTACAAATATCATCACTTTTTGTGTGCTTAACAAAACAGTAATTAACTATATCATAGTCTCAAAAAACAATTTTAACATACGTAAATGACAATACATGATTAATATTTCACTGTAAATACAGAACTGTCAACTCACTTAATTTTATTACCACAAACTCGTACAAGATATTCAATCTCCTGCTCAAGTCATGATTTTTAAAAGCAGCATTTACTGTGGTGTTTCTGTTGAATGAAATGCTTAGCAACTATCAACTTGACCTTTAAAAAGTGTTAATCAATTATTGAATATGTCTATATTAAATATAGGAATATTGGTGTGCTTCCATTATACAGTTGGTATCCCTGATGTATACTAGACAGGTAAGAGGTTAAACAATTTCTAAAGGCACTTAATATTCGAAATCATTCTGAGGTAACATTTTATTTTTGTGTAACATGTTTTGAATTTTTATTTTCACATGTGTTCGTGTTTGAAGCTCATTATTCACTGTGGCAATATGTTAAAAAGCAAAATGTAAGCTAATTCTATTTGTTAATCATAAAATTGCCATTACATTTCCTGTTAGTCGGAGCACATACCAACCCTTTGCCACTGTCATAACGGGCACAAAAGTATCTGTTTGCTCATTGCTGTAGCCTTTTATCTATTTTTCAGACACTGGATATTCTGAAACCCTGTCTGAGCATTGATACATCTGACGAAGAAAGTTTGTCAGAATATGAAGACAGAGAGCATGACTTTTTACCAACGACAGCTATGTGTTACAATGATGAAGATGATAAGACGTCATACACTGCCTCATGTTCATTGCCTGGATTATTTGGCAAAACACTTCATATGGATGAATCAGGTGTCACTGATTTGGATACTGGACAGCTTGAAAGTCCAGAGACACAGGGTGGTCAGGAAAACACAGAAGAGGATATGCTGACTGAAGATTTATCCGAGGAAGATAAAGTTGAGCATTTGAGGTAATATCACTAACCTTGTGATAAATTATTCAAAAATATTATAAACAGAATAGTTTTTGAATTTATGACATTATAAAACAAGGTTTTCCAACATTTAGTTCTTTACTGAAAAGTTCAAAAGATGATAAATTCAGTGGCAGAGCTCGGAAAGAATAGTACAATAGGGTATAGTCCTAGACAATTAAAAAATAAAAGCAACAAAAATTTGTTTACGAAGAATCTTAGGGTGGTAAGCATCAAAAAGAATTGCACAAGTTTAGCAATGCAAAACATTGAATGAAGGTGTGTGGACTTTTTACGAAGGTACATAGATCAAAATGGCTATTTTATTATTACAACATATTCTTCTTTTATATTGACAAACATAAGTATCACCCTTATCTTGTTTTGTTTTACCCAACCTTATCCTCTATATTCTGTTTTGTGAAACCCAAATTTAGTCCCTACATTCTGTGTTTTTTACCCAAAATAAACTTCGTTTTTGCAGAGATATGTGAGGTTTCCTATGCCTTATACAAAGAAATTGTTTGACTCTCTTGCCTTATTTTAAGGGTAAAATATTGCCCAGATATGAGAATGAGTTCTCAGTAACAAGTGCCTTAGAGGTGGAAAATAACTCTTCTGACATCAAAATTAGGCAGTTGGGAAAATATGTAAATTGGATACTGTACATTGTAAAAGACCTTGACCACCCATTCCCCCACCAGATAAAATTTGGAACAGCCCTAAGGTCAATTTGTTCAGAGGTTAACTGTGAATTTGACTGATTTCATATTTGTTGTTTCAATGTTTATATGATCCTCTGAACAGCACATTTTTCACAAACAGTAAATATAGATATTCTCAAAATTGATTAAATTTACAGTGAATATATTTCTATGTTATATGGCAGATTATCTTTTTATTTCAGGTCACTCCTGTTGCAGTTTACCAATGATTTTATTATTAACTGTTTTGGATTCTTGGTGCATGATTTGAAGGTAAGAAATCCTTTTAATCATAAATCCTCATGATTATTACTAACTTATTATTTTACAAAAATAATCAATGATAATGCAGTGGATTCATTTGATTTCATGGATATAATTTTCATTTTCTAATAACATGCTTTTTTCACATTTCTCAATAGGTGTGAGAAAAATATTTCTCATATCTAGAGAAAACTATGTTCTCAGCAAATGATTTGTCGAAATTTAATTGTGATGTCAAATTTTATTGGTTTCTTCTGAATTTCCTATTGTGACGTCATGAAAAAGGTGACCATGCCTGATGATGTCACATAAAAAGAACACAAAAATGTGCAAAATCTTTGAAGAAGGATAAACTTTGTTCTAAAAATCATTAGAGAAACAGATTCCGCCACTATAACTTGTGTATTACGATATTTCTCCACTCTCAACAGTCAAATTTTATAATTATTTAAAAAGCTAGGCAAGCCTTAAGCTTTGAATATTAAAATTTAAGTGTTTCGAGTGGAGAAATATTATAACACATTTGATGCAGTGGTGGAATCTATAATTCTTGCATTGAGGGAATTTTGTATTTTCATAGATAATTAATTTCCTATGACTCCCTTCGTGTGAAAATAACAAAACTACTATGGGTTCAGTATTTTTTTCTGAATCTCGAGGAATATATGAAAACCACATATTCAAATGTTAAACTAATGCAATTCTGTTTAAGACTTGTTTGTAGAATTTGTCAAAATTACAAAACCATGAAAATATTTATAATTCACCATTAGAAGAATTTTTTATTGAAATTTAGTGGTCCTACAACATAACTCTATGGAAAGACTAATATATTGTGTGAAATTGCACACAAATTTCCAAGTTTGTTAATGTAAAAACTTGAATAGTCTACATAAGAATAGAACAATAGCTAACAGGACTACCGCATACTGCATATACTTGTGATTCTGTTTTATTTTTTTTTCTGATTGATTTTTGAGGATTCTTCTCCCAAACATGGATTTGGATATCAGACTGACTTTTTGGGGGTAATTCCATATCAAAGCATTGAACATGGCCTCTCTACATATTTGAAATAGAGCCTCTGGTTTTTAAGATAATTTTTTTATTTGATAACCTTCAATTATTCATTTCCATTTACCCGTAGTATTATGACCAAAATAATCAGTCACCAGTTTTGTATAAGATGATGTTTATTTTTATAAGTAACTTTGTACTTTTCAGAATGTTTTAATCTCAGATGTAAAGGATAATTTAGATGAAACATACTTCCTGTGGGCAATGGCATTTTTCCTAAAAATAGCTCGAAAAGAAAATTTGCCATTTAAAGTCATAAGGTAAATATATATTTCATTAAACAAAATTTTTAGACTAGCATAGTTTTTATACTTATATTTGGTATTCAATTGTTTTCTCTACCCAATTAATGCCTGATCCTAAATACAGACATGGTATACATTGTTTTCTCTACACAATTAACGCCTCATCCTCAATACAGACATGGTATTACATTGTTTTCTCTACCCAATTAACGCCTCATCCTCAATACAGACATGGTATTACATTGTTTTCTCTACCCAATTAACGCCTCATCCTCAATACAGACATGGTATTACATTGTTTTCTCTACCCAATTAATGCCTGATCCTAAATACAGACATGGTATTACATTGTTTTCTCTACCCAATTAACGCCTGATCCTCAATACAGACAGATTCGGTTTTTATACGACCGCAAAAAATTTTGTGGTCGTATATTGGTATGACGTTGGCGTCGTCGTCGGCGTCGTCGTCCGGCATCGTCGTCGTCGTCCGGCGTCGTCGTCCGAAGACACATTGGTTTTCGCACTCTAACTTTAGTTAAAGTGAATGGATCTTTTTGAAATTTGACCATAAGGTTAAATACCACAAAAGGAAGGTTGGGATTGATTTTGGGGGTTAAGGTACCAACAGTTAAGGAATTAGGGGCCAAAAAGGGGCCAAAAATAAGCATTTTCTAGTTTCCAGGCAATAACTGTGGAACGGTGTATGGATCTCTCTGAAATTATACTACAAGTTTCCATACCACAAAGGGATGGTTAGGATTTGCTTTGGGGGGTTATGGCTCAAACCGTTTAGGAATTAGGGGCAAAAAAGGGGGAAAAACAAGGTTGTCCTGGTTAATGGACAAATACTTTAGTACAAAACATAATTTAAAGCAGTGTAAGGGAGATAAATCAAATACATCATTGAAATTATCTCCCTTACACTGCTTTTAAATTATGTATAAAGTAATGGTTAATGAACAATACAGATAATTTAAAACAGTGTAAGGGAGGTAATCCAAATACAACATTTTGGTTACTTCCCTTACACTGCTTTTAAATTATGTTTAAAGAAATGCATATTTATAAAGGAAGACCAGTAAAAATATCTGCAAATGTTGCATCTTTTTTTTTTACAAAAAAATCCATATGAATGATTTGACACTATATTTTTAATTCTATTATAAAATAGATTAAGTTAGCACTATGGTAAATTTAAATGGGTAATTATGGTTGCCAACTCCATTGGAAATTTGAATTGAGATTATGACCATATCTTGAAGGAAAGAATTTTTTAAGGGAAAAAAAAGGGGGGGGGGGATAAAAAGAAATTGTGGGGGGGGGGGGGCAATTTTTTCTCATTTCAGATTTCAGAAATTAAAAAGAATTATTCCTCAAATATTATTTTTTTTTCAAATTTCAAATATTGAAAAATTTCAAGAAGTAATCTTTAATTGCACAGTATGGCGCATTAGATTTGTAAAATCTTTGATCACATTTATTTATTTGTTATGCCGAATCTAACAGTGTATTTAGATTTTTAATTTTGGGTCCAGTTTTCAAATTGGTCTACATTAAGGTCCAAAGGGTCCAAAATTAAACTTTGTTTGATTGTAGCAAAAATTGAATATATGAGGTTCTTTGATATGCTGAATCTAAACATGTATTTAGATTTTTGATTTTTGGCCCAATTTTCAATTTGGTCCAAATTGGGGTCCAAAATTAAACTTTGTTTGATTTCAACAAAAATTGAATATATTGGGTTCTTTGATATGCTGAATCTAACCATGTATTTAGATTTTTTATTTGTGGACCCCGTTATCAAATTGGTTCATATTGAGGTCAAAAGGGTCCAAAATTAAACTTTGTTTGATTTCATCTAAAATTGAATTATTGGGGTTCTTTGATATTCCAAATCTAACCGTGTATTTAGATTTTTAATTTTGGGTCCTGTTTTTTAAATTGGTCTACATTAAGGTCCAAAGGGTCCAAAATTAAACTTAGTTTGATTTTAACAAAAATTGAATTCTTGGGGTTCTTTGATATGCTGAATCTAAACATGTGTTTAGATTTTTGATTATGGGCCCAGTTTTCAAGTTGGTCTAAGATAGGGTCCAGTATTTAAACTTTGTTTGATTTCAACAAAAATTGAATATATGGGGTTCTTTGATATGCTGAATCTAAACATGTATTTAGATTTATGATTATGGGCCCAGTTTTAAAGTTGGTCCAAATTGGGGTCCAAAATTAAACTTTGTTTGATTTCATCAAAAATTGAATTATTGGGGTTCTTTGATATGCCAAATCTAACCGTGTTTTTAGATTTTTAATTTGGGTCCCGTTTTTTAAATTGGTCTTCATTGAGGTCCAAAGGGTCCAAAATTAAACTTAGTTTGATTTTAACAAAAATTGAATTTTTGGGGTTCTTTGATATGCTGAATCTAAACATGTGTTTAGATTTTTGATTATGGGCCCAGTTTTCAAGTTGATCCAAGTTGGGGTCCAAAATTAAACTTTTTTTGATTTCAACAAAAATTGAATATATGGGGTTCTTTGATATGCTGAATCTAACCATGAATTTAGATTTTTAATTTGTGGGCCCTGCTATCAAATTGGTTCATATTGAGGTCAAAAGGGTCCAAAATTAAACTTTGTTTGATTTCATCAAAAATTGAATTATTGGGGTTCTTTGATATTCCAAATCTAACCGTGTATTTAGATTTTTAATTTTGGGTCCTGTTTTTTAAATTGGTCTACATTAAGGTCCAAAGGGTCCAAAATTAAACTTAGTTTGATTTTAACAAAAATTGAATTCTTGGGGTTCTTTGATATGCTGAATCTAAACATGTGTTTAGATTTTTGATTATGGGCCCAGTTTTCAAGTTGGTCCAAGATAGGGTCCAGTATTTAAACTTTGTTTGATTTCAACAAAAATTGAATATATGGGGTTCTTTGATATGCTGAATCTAAACATGTATTTAGATTTATGATTATGGGCCCAGTTTTAAAGTTGGTCCAAATTGGGGTCCAAAATTAAACTTTGTTTGATTTCATCAAAAATTGAATTATTGGGGTTCTTTGATATGCCAAATCTAACCATGTTTTTAGATTTTTAATTTGGGTCCCGTTTTTTAAATTGGTCTTCATTGAGGTCCAAAGGGTCCAAAATTAAACTTAGTTTGATTTTAACAAAAATTGAATTCTTGGGGTTCTTTGATATGCTGAATCTAAACATGTGTTTAGATTTTTGATTATGGGCCCAGTTTTCAAGTTGATCCAAGTTGGGGTCCAAAATTAAACTTTTTTTGATTTCAACAAAAATTGAATATATGGGGTTCTTTGATATGCTGAATCTAACCATGAATTTAGATTTTTTATTTGTGGGCCCTGCTATCAAATTGGTTCATATTGAGGTCAAAAGGGTCCAAAATTAAACTTTGTTTGATTTCATCAAAAATTGAATTATTGGGGTTCTTTGATATTCCAAATCTAACCGTGTATTTAGATTTTTAATTTTAAGTCCTGTTTTTTAAATTGGTCTACATTAAGGTCCAAAGGGTCCAAAATTAAACTTAGTTTGATTTTAGCAAAAATTAAATTCTTGGGGTTCTTTGATTTGCTGAATCTAAACATGTGTTTAGATTTTTGATTTTGGGCCCAGTTTTCAAGTTTGTCCAAGTTGGGGTCCAAAATTAAACTTTGTTTGATTTTAACAAAAATTGAATATATGGGGTTCTTTAATATGCTGAATCTAACCATGTATTTTGATTTTGGACATTGGACCATAATAGGTAAATTAAAAAAATTCAAGTTCTTAGACCACATTCTTTCTGTGTCAGAAACCTATGCTGTGTCAAATATTTAATAAAAATCCAAATTCAGAGCTGTATCCAGCTTGAATGTTGTGTCCATACTTGCCCCAACTGTTCAGGGTTCGACCTCTGCGGTCGTATCAAGCTGCGCCCCAGCGAAGCATTTTATTTTTTGTAAGATGGCAAGAAATTCAGATATATATTTGGATTGATATGTATGCAAGTATTAGTCATAGTACCATACACAAATACAGTTTTAGTTTAGTATTATAATTACTGTTGGTGTCAGAAGGATCATAAGAATGAAAAGCAGTCTGTTAAATTAAATAATGATGTCAAAGTGAAATAAAGTGTTCTTTTTCTAATAATTAAATCCTAATTTCTGAATTCTTTATTTGACAAAATACTAATTAAAATGATTCTGTCTTGATGTCTTGAATAAGTCCTTCAGCTTGTTAGTAGATCATTAAGTAAGGATCAGACTGGAATTGCCATTGTTCATTGTAAAGATTATAAATAATTTCTGAAAAAGAAATGGAACAAAAGTTGTACTTTTGAATTGCTCAATTTTAAGATGTGAACATTTATAACGCTAACATTGCTTTGATTAATTTAGGTTGGTTTTGAAGACGGAATTGTTTGGTTTTCTGACTTATCAAGGAGTGGTATTGACAGAACAACTTCTGATAGCACAGAAAAAGAAAAATAATCTCACTAACAATATTAGAAGGTAAATATTTAATCCACAGTATTTTATATTTTATCACTATGTCATTCTAATATAAAAGGATTGACATTGTTTTATATTGTTATTTTAAAAGTAAGGTGCTTTGCATCATATGACCTTGCTTCACGTACCACAAGTCTGTGACTGTACTTAGGAAGGATTAAGATCATCATTTTTCATTTGGTACTGATATCTATCTTTATTGTGGACTTTTGATACTAACTTGAATGATTCTTTCTTATTGTTTGGAAAGTAATATATTCCCATTACAATTTGTATTAAACTACTGATAATTAACCTCAATTATTTGTGGTCAGAGATATTGCTATTGATATGCAAGGAATTTACATTTAATAAAATTGTAACATCTTGCTGTACAGCTTTGATTTTGTTTGACAGACAAAGCAAATTATGATTACCGTAATTGAAATATTTAAAAAGAGAGAAACTATAATTTTGTAGATGACATATTGTAACTTTTGGGAAGCTTTATTTCTGTTTTTTTTAACTGATTGCTTTTTGGGGATTCCTGTCCCAATCATGGATTTGGCTATCAGATTGATTTTTTTGTGTGATTTCCATACCAAAGTTTGGACATGGTCTTTCTACATATTTGTTAGAGCCTATGATGTATTAGCTTTATGACTAAAATAATCATTCACTCACAATGTACAGAAGTATATTTTTATAAGTATCTTTGTATTTTTCAGTATTTGTTTGTTCTTGTTTTTGTTTGAAAGCAAATTATGAATAATTGAAATAGTTAAAAAGATAGAAACTATAATTTTATAAATGATATATTGTAACTATCTCAGCTCAGCGATTTTACTTATGAGATCCTCTGGAGATTGAAATAAAAGTAAAAATCAAAATTGTTGGTTTATTGTATTATATTGTCTTTGAGTGAACATGTCAGTATGATACAGTTGTTTATAAACTCAGTACATGTAATATATAATACAGATTATTGACTAAAACATTTCTGCTAGAACTGGATGCAAAAATATCTACTGGGTTCTTTGCAATTAAATCATACAATTCTACTGTAAAAAACAGAACAGATTGCATCAACAGATATCTACATGAATCAAGCATAGAAGTGAATATTTGATTACAACCATGTAAATTCTACAAGTGAAATCCAAATGTAATATTAAGCCGTCAAATCAGCAAGGTGTAACAATAACTATGAATAAAAAGAAAAGTCAATAAGAAACAACCAAAAAACACGCACACAATAATGAAAGACAAATGTCAACATGAAAAGATTCAACTTTTGTTGAAAGTAAGGCTTAAGGTGTAATACCACCAAATCATAGTACGTCACATCCGGTTGTATACTAAAATAGGTCGAAAAAAAATATTCCCTTGAATTTGACAGTTGTAGGTAATTGATCCTACATTTCATTGCAGTAAAACATTTCTGGGTCATAAACATATATCTTGGGTATTTCAAAGCACCATTATATTTTTATTTGGGGTTTCTATAGAATATTTTGGAAACTTGAGGTTACATGGTTCCTAAAGCTTGTACACAGGTTAAAAAAGGGGGAAAATTTGATTGGTTTACTTCCAGTGATGGTTATTTTCTTATATGCAATGAAAAGTTATGTGAAATTTTTTCTATAGTACTGGACAGGATAAAACTTAACTCATGCCAAGTATTTCTTTATTTGAAACAAAGATAAATTCTGCACAATTTTTTGAAAAGTGCAAATTTAACAAAGACTAATAGGGGAAAATCAATGGTGGTATTACACCTAATATAGGAAGCTGTACATGCACCTTTGACCTTGTGAGTACTCTCATGTGTTAAAATTTCTTGCTATTTAAGTGAAATATTACAAATAATGAAATATTCTGAGTGGATTGAGTCTCCAAAACACATTTTATAAGAAAATTTCCTTGAAATAGGACTTTACCATGAATATTAGTTGACAGAACAAGCCATACTTAGAGTTTTGGGGAGCTTGTTCTCCTTATTTATTATATTCTGCTATACTAGAAATTTTTTCCTAAGAAATACTTTAATAAATATATAGTTTTAAGTAAATGAAATTATTTTTAAAACAGTAACAACAAATTATTCACCCAAAGAGTAGCTTTTTATGTCCCTCTCTGGAACGCGGCGTAAATTTAAGTTTTACATAAGGACTTATTGAAACGTCCTTGGAGACAGTAAACTTTTATACGGATAGTTCATTCAGCTTGAATACTTCAATTAATCATTTATCATAACATTTCTATCATAAATGAGTGAAAGTTACCCCAAAATTTTTATTTATTGGCCTAAAAAGTAGAAATTTTGAGGAAATGAGAGGTATAAATGGACCAAAAGAGACCTTATAAGGAAGACAAAGAGGTCCATTAGTAGTATTTAACATCCTAAAGTCATCTTTTGTATCATATTCAACTGTTTGTAGGCAGATGAGATCAATATTTGATCATTTATTGGTTCACACAGTATTCTATCATGATGCGGCTTGGTTTGGATTTTTCGAAGAAATTTTGCTCGAATCGCTGTAGATGTCTTCTTACATTATACTAGATTTTTCCCAAACTATTGAACTGATTATGACAAAACTTGACAGGAATGCTTGAAATAACCAGTATTACAAAGGAAAAAAGTTACATTCAGTTTATTTAACAAAAAAGTCTTCTTTAGGTGTAATACCACCAAATCATAGTACGTCACATCCGGTTGTATACTAGAAAAGGGCGAAAAAAAATATTCCCTTGAATTTGACAGTTGTAGGTAATTGATCCTACATTTCATTGCAGTAAAACATTTCTGGGTCATAAACATATATCTTGGGTATTTCAAAGCACCATTATATTTTTATTTGGGGTTTCTATAGAATATTTTGGAAACTTGAGGTTACATGGTTCCTAAAGCTTGTACACAGGTTAAAAAAGGGGGAAAATTTGATTGGTTTACTTCCAGTGATGGTTATTTTCTTATATGCAATGAAAAGTTATGTGAAATTTTTTCTATAGTACTGGACAGGATAAAACTTAACTCATGCCAAGTATTTCTTTATTTGAAACAAAGATAAATTCTGCACAATTTTTTGAAAAGTGCAAATTTAACAAAGACTAATAGGGGAAAATCAATGGTGGTATTACACCTTAAACTTATACCAGTGATGATATGAAATTTCTTGATTGACAGTTTCCTATCAAATTATGAAGTTAAACAGTTTTATTTGTGATATAGATACACTACTTTAATGCCTTTTTGTGGTTTTAGGCTTCATCTAACTATTACTGCACTTAATGAAATATTGAAGACTTTGTTAAAGTACTCATCAGATGAAAATTTAGAGGAATATGACAAGGAATATTTAGTGGGATTGCAGAGTAAGTATATTATAGATCAGTGTATGTACTTTGTTCTTGATGTTTAACAAGGTAATAATGGAAGAAGTGAACATAAATATCTGAAAGGTTCCTGACCAAAGTATAATTTAGAGATAACTGTATAACATAAGTATGCTTCAGGCATCAAACGTAAACACCGGGCATTTTCTGGCTTCTTGTCCGCTTCAGAATGTAATAAAATTTGATAAAAAGAAGATTTCTAGGTACAAAATGTGAGTTTTTTTGCTTATTATTGGAGTAATTACATGTCAATACATTCCGGAATTCAAATTGTCGGCTTCTATAGTTACAGACAGGGAGATAGAGAATTTTACGTTTATTGTCATCCAATGAGAACCATTGATACAAAATAATTGCATTAGAATTTCTGTTATGTTTATTATATGTTTATTATGTGCCTATCCATCTATAGCCTATTAGGAATAATAATATCTCTGCCTATCCATCTATAGCCTATTAGGGATAATAATGTCTCTGGTTTAATATAAAACCATGATCAAATAATGGTCTGCTTTTTATTAATGCAAATTCTTTTTAAATTGACATGTATTCTAAGACAGATTTGTATTAAATTTTTCAGAGGACCTTGCTAATGTGACAGAGCTTAGAATGGTGTTTTTCTTACTGATCAGACATTATCAATCCAAAGATACAAGTTTATGTTTCCTAGAGGACTTGATCAGTACAAATCATACATACCTTTCATTGTTAGATTCATGGGACAGAAATGGATGGGTTATTGACAACTTTAACATGATGGAGCATATTAAATTGTAAGTATATAGATTGATAGATATTACTAAAGCACCCTTTAAAAGTTGTAATGGATCAGGGAATTTGATTTGTAAAAGTTTGGGTTAAGGTAATTTCTTTGAAACTTAGTAAGCATGTTAAATATAATGTGAACTTTTTAAAATATATTTTTTACCCATATTTAGCACGTCACTATACAAGGGAATGTGGAAGGGAGAGTTGGGTATGCTGTCCTTTTGATACTTATTCTTGTTTTAAAGTGATAAGAAGCTCATATTTAACATATACATGTACTGTTAATGTACTCATTTTATTCATATTTTTTATCCCCCCCCCCCCCCCCCCCCCTGTAGCGGAGGGGACATTAAGTTTTACCCTTGTCTGTCTGAACGTCCGTCCTTACATCCCGAAATTGGTTTCCATTCTCCATCTTTGGTTTGTCTCATCCAAATGTTATGAAACTTATACACAATGCTTATTACCAAAAAGCACAGATCAAGTTTGAATTTGGGTTGCGTCACTTTTACCGTTCTACAGTTATGCTCCTTTACAAATGGAAAAATTGCTGAACTTTTCGTTTCCGTTCTCGAACTTAATTTAACTTGAAAGCCATCACTCAACCAGTTTCATGTAGTGAGATTTTTCTTTCCAGTTTACGAATATATAAATAGGAGCCAGCTGTTCATTTTTAGCTCACCTGACCTGAAAGGTCAAGTGAGCTTTTCTCATCACTTTGCGTCCGTCGTCCGTCGTCCTGCGTCCGTCGTCCGGCGTCCGTCGTCCGTCGTCCGTCGTCCGTAAACTTTTACAAAAATCTTCTCCTCTGAAACCACTGGGCCAAATTTAACCAAACTTGGCCACAATCATCATTGGGGTATCTAGTTTTAAAAATGTGTGGCGTGACCCGGTCAACCAACCAAGATGGCCGCCACGGCTATAAATAGAACATAGGGGTAAAATGCAGTTTTTAGCTTATAACTCAAAAACCAAAGCATTAAGAGCAAATCTGACATGGGGTAAAATTGTTCATCAGGTCAAGATCTATCTGCCCTGAAATTTTCAGATGAATCGGACAACCCGTTATTGGGTTGCTGCCCCTGAATTGGTAATTTTAAGGAAATTTTGCTGTTTTTGGTTATTATCTTGAATATTATTATAGATAGAGATAAACTGTAAACAGCAATAATGTTCAGCAAAGTAAGATTTACAAATAAGTCAATATAACCGAAATGGTCAGTTGACCCCTTTAGGAGTAATTGCCCTTTATAGTCAATTTTTAACCATTTTTTGTAAATCTTAGTAATCTTTTACAAAAATCTTCTCCTCTGAAACAACTGGGCCAAATTAAACCAAACTTGGCCACAATCATCATTTGGTTATCTAGTTTAAAAAATGTGTGGCGTGACCCGGCCAACCAACCAAGATGGCCGCCACAGCTAAAAATAAAACATAGGGGTAAAATTCAGTTTTTGGCTTATAACTCAAAAACCAAAGCATTTAGAGCAAATCTGACATGAAGTAAAATTGTTTATCAGGTCAAGATCTATCTGCCCTGAAATTTTCAGATGAATCGAAATACCTGTTGTTGGGTTGCTGCCCCTGAATTGGTAATTTTAAGGAAATTTTGCTGTTTTTGGTTATTATCTTGAATATTATTATAGATAGAGATAAACTGTAAACAGCAATAATGTTCAGCAAAGTAAGATTAACAAATAAGTCAACATGACTGAAATGGTCAGTTGACCCCTTTAGGAGTTATTGCCCTTTATAGTCAATTTTTAACAATTTTTCGTAAATCTTAGTAATCTTTTACAAAAATCTTCTCCTCTGAAACTCCGTGGCCAAATTAAACCAAACTTGGCCACAATCATCATTTGGTTATCTAGTTTTAAAAATGTGTGGCGTGACCTGGTCAACCAACCAAGATGGCCGCCACGGCTAAAAATAGAACATAGGGGTAAAATTCAGTTTTTGGCTTTTAACTCAAAAACCAAAGCATTTAAAGCAAATCTGACATGAAGTAAAATTGTTTATCAGGTCAAGATCTATCTGCCCTGAAATTTTCAGATGAATCGGACAACCCGTTATTGGGTTGCTGCCCCTGAATTGGTAATTTTAAGGAAATTTTGCTGTTTTTGGTTATTATCTTGAATATTATTATAGATAGAGATAAACTGTAAACAGCAATAATGTTCAGCAAAGTAAGATTTACAAATAAGTCAATACAACCGAAATGGTCAGTTGACCCCTTTAGGAGTAATTGCCCTTTATAGTCAATTTTTAACCATTTTTCGTAAATCTTAGTAATCTTTTACAAAAATCTTCTCCTCTGAAACAACTGGGCCAAATTAAACCAAACTTGGCCACAATCATCATTTGGTTATCTAGTTTTGAAAATGTGTGGCGTGACCTGGTCAACCAACCAAGATGGCCGCCACGGCTAAAAATAGAACATAGGGGTAAAATTCAGTTTTTGGCTTTTAACTCAAAAACCAAAGCATTTAAAGCAAATCTGACATGAAGTAAAATTGTTTATCAGGTCAAGATCTATCTGCCCTGAAATTTTCAGATGAATCGGACAACCCGTTGTTGGGTTGCTGCCCCTGAATTGGTAATTTTAAGGTGATTTTGCTGTTTTCGGTTATTATCTTGAATATTATTATAGATAGAGATAAACTGTAAAAAACAATAAATGTCGGCAAAGTAAGATCTACAAATAAGTCAACATGACCGAAATTGTCAGTTGACCCCTTTAGGAGTTATTGCCCTTTATAGTCAATTTTTTCGTAAATCTTAGTAATCTTTTACAAAAATCTTCTCCTCTGAAACTACTGGGCCAAGTTAATTATAGATAGAGATAATTGTAAGCAGGAAAAATGTTCAGTAAATTAAGATGTACAAACACATCACCATCACCAAAACACAATTTTGTCATGAATCCATCTGCGTCCTTTGTTTAATATTCACATAGACCAAGGTGAGCGACACAGGCTCTTTAGAGCCTCTAGTTTTAACTTGAAAGCCATGCCTTATAACTGGTTTCATTAAGTGAGATTTTTTCCCTTCAGTTTACAGAATATATCAATAGGAGCCAGCTGTTTATTTTTAGTCCCCTACCCACAAAGTCGATAGGGACTTAAGGTTTGCACTCCATCTGTCTGTCTGTTTGTCCATCCGTCAGTCCGGCAAATCAGTTTTCCACACTTTTTTATGCCCCCGCCGTAGCGGTGGGGGCATTAAGTTTTACCCTTGTTCGTACTTACGTACGTCCCAAAATTTCTCTAACTTGAGTTTGCCTCAACCAAATGTTATCAAACTTATACACAATGCTTATTACCACAAAACACAGATCAAGATTGAATTTTGGTGGCGTCACTTTAACCGTTCTAGAGTAATGCCCCTTTATAAATGGAAAAATTGCAAAATTTTTATTTTCTGTTCTCTAACTTAAGATTGCCTCAACCAAATGTTATGAAACTTATACACAATGCTTATTACCACAAAACACAGATTATGTTTGAATTTCGGTGGCGTCACTTTAATCTTTCTAGAGTTATGCCCCTTTATAAATGGAAAAATTGCAAAATTTTTAGTTTCCGTTCTCTTACCTTAGTTTGCCTCAACCAAATGTTATGAAACTTATACACAATGCTTATTACCACAAAACACAGATCAAGTTTGAATTTTGGTGGCGTCACTTTAACCGCTCTAGAGTTCTTCTAAATTTCAAGTAATTTATAAAATTGGAGTTATCTTCCTTTGTCCATGATTATAGTTGAATCCATTACAATCAATGCTTTATACAATGCAATGTTAAATTTTGACTTCCACTGATAAAACACAGATCAAGTTGAATTTGGGTAGTGTCACTTTAACCATTATTGAGTTATGCCCCTTTATAAATCGAAAGATTGCAAAATTTTTAATTTCCATTCTGTAACTTAAGTTTGCCCCAACCAAACATTATGAAACCAATAATATTCATTACCACAAAACTAAGATCAAGTACAAACTTTTTGTTTCCAATTTCAAACTTTAGTTTGCCTCAACCAAATGTTATGAAACTTATACACAATGCTTATTACTACATAATACAGATTAAGTACAAATTTGGTGGCGACACTTTTACCATTCTTGAGTTATGTCCCTTGATAAACATAAAAATTGCTGAATTTTTCGTTTCTGTTCTCTAACTTTAGTTTGTCTCAACCAAATGTTATAAAACTTATACACAACCGTTCTAGACTTATGCGTGTTTACAAATAGAAAAATTGCTGAATTTTTAGTTTCTGTTCTCTACAGATAGCCTCAACCAAATGTTATGAGACTTACACTCAATCCTTATTACCACAAAACTCAGACCAAGTTCAAATTTGGGTAGCGTCACTTTTACCGTTCTTCAGTTTTGTCCCTTTATGACACTATCCACATTTATTTCTTCTTGCATGAAGATATTGATTTGATATTTGGTGTATTGTTTCATCACGACAAGTTACAGATCAAGGTCGAATTTTGTTCCTGTCTGATGATTTTGTCCAGAGTTATGGTCCTTGGACTTAGAAAATTCACTCAAATAATCAGTTTTTATGCACTATTTTTTCTTCATGCTTGAAGATATTGATTTGATAATTGGTGTTTAGTTTTATCATGACAAGTAACAGATTTAGTTTGAATTTTGTTTGGGTCTGATGATTTTGTACAGAGTTATGGTCCTTGGAATTAGAAAATTCACTTAAATAATCAGTTTTCCACACTTTTATTGTCATGCTTGAAGATATTGATTTGATATTTATGCCCCCGCTGTAGCATTAATTTTTTAACCCTTATCCGTCCGTACGTATGTCCGTCCGTCCGTCTGTACGTCCCAAAGTTGGTTTCCGCTCTCTAACTTTAGTTTGCCTCAACCAAATGTTATGAAACTTATACACAATGCTTATTACCATTAAACACAGATCAAGTTTGAATTTGGTGGCATCACTTAAACTGTTGTAGAGTTATGCCCCTTTACAAATGGAAAACTTGCTGAATTTTTCGTTTCCGTTCTCTTAACTTTAGTTTGCTTCAACCAAATGTTATGAAACTTATACACAATGCTTATTTATACCACAAAACACAGATCAAGCATGAATTTTGGTGGCGTCACTTTTACTGTTCTAGAGTTATGCCCCTTTACAAATGGAAAAATTGCTGAATTTTTTTGTTTCCATTCTCTAACTTTAGTTTGCCTCAACCAAATGTTATGAAACTTATACACAATGCTAATTATCACAAAATACAGATCAAGTTTGAATTTTGGTGGTGTCATTTTAACCGTTCTAGAGTTATGCCCCTTTACAAATGGAAAAATTGCTGAATTTTTTGTTTCCGTTCTCTAACTTAAGTTAGCCTCAACCAAATGTTATGAAACTTATACACAATGCTTATAACCACAAAATACAGACCAAGTTTGATTTTTGGTGGTGTCACTTTTACTGTTCTAGAGTTATGCCCTTTACAAATGGATAATTGCTGAATTTTTCGTTTCCGTTCTCTAACTTTAGTTTGCCTCAACCAAATGTTATGAAACTTATACACAATACTTATTTCTACATAGCTCAGATCAATAACAAATTTTGGTAGCGTCACTTTTACCTTTCTTCAGTTATGTCCCTTTATAACTTTATATGATATGCAAGCGGGGGCATCATCTGTGTCCCATGGACACATTCCCCATTTATTGTTATATAGTTTACGCAATGACAAGTTATAAATCAAATTAGCATTTTGTTCAAGTACAATGTATTTTTAACCGGTAGGGGACTATGTATTGCCATGCAATACTCTCAGAATGCTTGTTTCTAAATAAAAAGAAGTTATATAGCTAAAAAAATGACCGATCTTGTGAGGGCTATTCCAAAAATAAATTTGATTTTTTGGGTGACAGATAAGTAGTTGTTTGTTTTGGGTATGCAATAGAACTAGGCAAAACCCTGAAATTATGTACCCAGGACAAAAGATATTTTTTTTAAATCCCTGAAAATTGATAACCTGAAAAAATGATTTGATTTAGTGTTAACTATTTGGTTTCAGATATGCAAATCGTAACATCATGCAGTATTATGGTACAATGCTTGAAAACTTTGAGAATAACAGATCTGTGGTGAATCTGTATGTGTTTACTATGATGCACCATATAGCTGGAGATTGTGAGAAGCCTGAGGTATTAATGCAGATGCCTATTATACAAGCTTTAATGGAAATTGATGGTAGCAAAAACTGCATGACAAAGGTAATACTTAAGTTGTACACCTTTTTATTTACAACAAAAGTTAAATATGAATATGAAAAAAATAATTGTAAGTTTTTTGCCTATTATATATAATCAGACACTGTAGATGACATACAGCCATTTTAATCTTTATTTAGCAGCATGATTTTTAAACACAAGCTAAAACTGTATATAGGACAGTGTTTGTAAACTATTTCTGTCCTCTTCAAAGTTTTATTTATTAGTAACTGGCATTTTGTTATTGCCAGATTTTGTATGAATTTGTAAAAGAAATTTTAAATTTGTTTTTTATGATAATGAATGTTTTATTTTTATCTTGCAGGAAATGATTGACTTGAAGGAGTTTTTGTTGAACAGATTTGATAATCTTACCAAAACTGACCCATATGCAGCTGCTATGGAATTATATGGTATTCAGGAAAATAAAGATCAAATGTAAGAACATCACATTATTTTGTTGCATTGTGTAGATGTTTTCAGAAATCAAGTAACTTTTCTTTGTAAAAAAATCTTTTGAATTTTAATATTCAATCAATCAGCACATGGAAATTAGATCTTTTGAATTTCTTGAGTAATTGAGATCTATCCTAACAAAGCAAGTACCAAAACAACAAAACTGGTAAATTACAAATGTTTTATAACATAACTCATGATTCAGCTCTGACTTTTTATCAAACATATTTATGCCCTGTATAATCTACTTAGAATACCACACACACACACAAACACTTACATTTCATGCCCTCTTCTTTCCCTTTTCATATCCTCCTTTGAAATATATGCTACTGGACATTAAACAACCAACAATCAATCAATCATATCCCCTCTTTCTCCTTAGCTCTGTATCCTTTCTTGGCTATCTCTCAACATATATTTATATAAATTTTGTTTCAATTAATATTCATATATTGATTAAGTATGCTGAAATATATGATTGACATTATAATAGTATTCAGGAGTACCCTTACTAAAAACATGGCAGTTATGTCTTGTCTATTTTGTTGCTTTCAACAAAGGTCAATATGTTTAAACTATAAACAAAACAAGAACATTTAAGGATGGTCTTTTCCCAGTTATTAGACTTTAGCATGTGTTTTTGACAGATTTTAAGACAATATTACTGGTTATGACAGTGATATTTAGTAGACGGAAATAACATAGTTTTTTATTATTGAGGAAAGTGTTAACAGACTGATAATTTGAAGTTTTATATTAAGACATTGTATTTCCGTATTGAGAAACGTGTCAATAGACTAATGTCAGTAGACTAAAAAGTTTTGTATTATGAGATTGTTTTACAGTTTGGATGAAAGTGTTTACAGACTGATAATTTGAAGTTTTATATTAAGACATTGTATTTCTGTATTGAGAAACGTGTCAATAGACTCATGTCAATAGACTAAAAAGTTTTGTATTATGACATTGTTTTACAATTTGGATGAAAGTGTTAATAGACTGATAATTTGAATATTTGCTATTTGACATTGTTTTCTTGTATGGAGCAAAGTGTTAACAGACTGCTAATTTATAGTTTTGTAAATTGACATTGTTTCTTGTATGGAGACTGATAATTTGAAATTTTGGAATATGACATTGTTTTCCTGCATAGAGGATAGTGTTAATAGAGGGTCATAAAGGGGGGATATGGGTATGTGCAATGGACAAACAGGAAAACAAATAGCCATTTTCTGAAAGAATAATAAAAAAATAGCTTACATGTAGCTTTTTACCAATTTGCACGAAACACAGTGAATAATGAGCACTGTGCATGAAAACACATTAAAATAAAAATTGCAAACATTTTGAAGTTTGAAATTTTTTAATATGACATTGTTTTGCAGTATTGAGGAAAGTGTTAACGATATCAGTGGAGTAACAGATTCTGCAGAGGTGGATGATATGTTGTTTGCATTATATACAGAATTACAGAACACCAGTGACATGGTGGAGACAATGGTAGAGAGGTTTGCTGAAATAGGGATCACCATTACTGCACAACAGGTTCGATATCATTCAATTTAAAAAAGTATAAAGCACAATTTAAAAACAAGTGTTAGTTTTTGTTGGCACTGAGAGACTTTGACATTTCCATTGTACCATTCAAGTATTGTTTTTCAATTTTAGAAAATGAAGGTTTCATTTTTTCATATCATTTTTTTTTAAAAACCTGAACAAATCGGACTTCTTTTGTCTCTGACCAGTTTTGTGATACATCCTATGTACAATTATTACTTTTTGGATGAATACAGGTAAAAAAGGGTTTGAAAGTAATTTGTATAGAAAATAGTAATTATTTGAATAAAACTTTGGTTTGGGAATACATATGTTATTATAATTTATGGCAAAATGCAGATTAAGTTAAAGTTTTAAAATAAGGCCAACATAAAACAGATGTTTACCTTTTGTTACTTGGTAATTTAAAGAAGAAGAGATAGAAAGGTAGGCAAAATAGTTGGTATACTTTTAATTATTGTGAGGTTTTTTATAGTGGTAAAATTTTACTCGGGTACTATTAAACAGAATGACTTCATATTTGGACACCAGCCCAACAGTGATGAGCTGTAATATGTGTGCACTTTTTGGATCTGTCAGATACCTACTTTCTGTTTTCCGATACTTTGAATTACAAGGGGGCATGCTTAGTAAAATTTAAACCATAAAATTAAGGAAAATATGGAATTTTGAATCACAGGTATGTTTTAATTTTAGTCTAATCAAATATATTGTTCAAATGTTATGAGGGGCCTCAGTGGCAAAGCTATCTAAGTAGTTCAACTTCTGTATCTCAAGCCTGTCAACAATGAGGATATATTATACCCACACTTTAAAAGTGTAGGCTGTATTGCACACATTGCAATCTCCATGTCTGTTTGTCTGTTCTTATAAACATATTTTGGTTGGAAAAAGTCTCCAATTGGTATTTTTAGTTAATAAGAAGAAATTTAAGTCATGGTACACATGGCTTTGCAAGGAAAGAATTTATTTAAACATATATCTGCATACTTTTTATACGACCGCAAAAAAATTTTGCATTCGTATATTGGTATGACAATGGCGGCGTCGTCGTCAGAAGACACATTGGTTTTCGCACTCTAACTTTAGTTTAAGTGAATGGATCTCTATGAAATTTTACCATAAGGTTCAATACCACAAAAGGAAGGTTGGGATTGATTTTGGGGGTTATTGTACCAACAGTTTAGAAATTAGGGGCCAAAAACAAGCATTTTTGTAGTTTCCGGACTATAACTTGTGTTTAAGTGTATGGATCTCTCTGAAATTGTACCACAAGGTTCCATATCACAAAGGGAAGGCTGGGATTGAGTTTGGGGGTAATTGCCCCAAACGTTAAAAAATTAGGGGGAAAAAAGGGGCCAGAAACAAGCATTTTTCTAGTTTTCCGAACAATAACTTGTGTGCAACTGTATGGATCTTTCTGAAATTGTACTACAAGGTTCCATTTCACAAAAGGAAAGCTGGAATTGAGTTTGGGGGTAATTGCCCAAAACGTTTAGGAATAAGGGGCCAAAAATAAGCATTTTTCTAGTTTCCAGACAATAACTTGTGTTCAAGTGTATGAATCTCTCTGAAATTGTACTGCAAGGTACCATACCACAAAGGGAAGGCTGGGATTGATTTTGGGGGTAATTGCCTTAAAATTTTAGGAATTGGGGGCCAAAAAGGGGAAAAAAACAAGCATTTTTCTAGTTTCAGGACAATAACTTGTGTGTAAGTGTATGGATCTTTATGAAATTTAATACAAGGTTCCATATCACAAAGGGAAAGCTGGGTTTGAGTATGGGGGTAATTGCTCTAAACGTTTAGGAATTTGGGGCCTAAAAACAAGCATTTTTCTTGTTTCCAGACAATAACTTGTTTTCAAGTGTATGCATCTCTCTGAAATTGTACTGCAAGGTACCATACCACAAAGGGAAGGCTGAGTTTGAGTTTGGGGGTGATGAATCATAAGGGGGTTCAAAAAATTTGGGGGAGGGATTTTTTTTCCTTTTTTTCCTTTTTTTTTTCTTTAAATTTTCCATTTTAAATTGGTTATTTCTGATTTATATATAAAAGCAAATAATAATGATATGGTTTGAATAGGTAAATTAAAAAGTTCTTAGACCACATTCATTCTGTGTCAGAAACCTATGCTGTGTCAAATATTTAATCACAATCCAAATTCAGTGCTGTATCAAGCTTGAATGTTGTGTCCATACTTGCCCCAACTGTTCAGGGTTCGACCTCTGTGGTCGTATCAAGCTGCGCCCAGCGGAGCATTTTATTGACAATTTTTATTTTTTAATTGTATTACCTATTTGCATTTGAAGTATCTAAATAGGTCACATCACAAAAATTTAAATTGTGTAGGACACATCACCTGATTGTTTTAGCATGAAATCCTGAAGTACAGGTGAAATTAATGGGTCTTATGTAATGTGTGCATTGTTTATTTTCAGGTTTGGTCCAGGCTTTATGACAATGGATTGATAGATGATACTGAATTCTTTGCAAATGAGGTAGAGTCTCAGATTACGTCGTTAAGTCCTTTCCAGTTGTTATACCTAATAAATCCACACTTTTCGTATATTCAATTGCCAGATTTCTTTAAAATTTTCAAGAACCTGAAACTAATTTTACAACATAAAAAAGCCTTAAAGGATATTGGATGGAATTAAATGGAACAAAAGCTGGAATATTGACAGTTTTCGAAAGGTCTTAATCATGAGCTGAAGTCCTCATATCATATCATATCATATCAATACAGTCCCTAGCAGTACTATGATAGTTATCAATATATACTACATATTTAGTTGAAGATACATATGCAGGAATATTAACTAAAAATCATATAAAAAGAAGGAAAGTCTTCTACAAATAGGCTATTATACAACAATTATAAACATACATGTACTGACTACCACAGGGCACAAATAAAGAAAGGAACATTTTTTTAGGTTTATTCATAATATAATATGATAAAACAGTTTGTTTTAAGTTCAAACCATTAACCTTTGAAAACATACCTAGAATACCTTTCAATTTATGTTGATGAGATTTTGGAGATAAAACAAATTTTCATCTTTAAAGTATGGATCAGGTTCAACATTTGAAATCAACAGTAAAAATTTTTTAAAAGATATACGTTGGTCGTTATTCAACAAATTCTTCTCATATTTCAATCCTATGATTGTCTTTTTCTAGAAATTAGTGACCGTCAAAGATGAAATAGAGAGTAAACTGTTTGACAGTGAAGACAAGGATGTAATACAGTGGTGTGTTAATGCTCTTAAAGAGAAAAAACAGGACGAGAATCTCAAATGGATCCAAACATTACTGTGTGAAACTGCATTTGTCAGACTTGGTAGGTTCTGTAATCAGAAATGTTGCTTAATTTTAGACACTCCTGAGTATATGCAGGGACGTACCATCACAGGCAAAAAAATTTGTTAAAATGATATACACTAAAAATAAATAAATATCTGCAAAATTTATATAACAAAATAAATTTAAGAATTGATGAGTGAAAATATATATGTATTATTTCAAACAGTAAATGAACAATTTTATTTCTGACAGCAATTTATGGAATTGACATCATGCAAATTCCATATAAATGATACAGCAAACTTTTGTGTTATTATAATGGAAGAGAAACGGTCAACATCTTTGTCTCCATACACCGACAAAAGAAATAAAAAATGAAGTGTAACAAAAATATGCTGAAAAAGGCACAAATATATATGATCCTTTATTTAATTCTTTAATACAATGATTTGTCAATGTATTTTTGAAAATTGTATTTTTTAGGGAAACAGTGTGAAAGAAATCTTCGTTGTGAAGAACCAGTGACAATGTTTCATGTTGGTAAGTAATTGTTTTAAAATAAGTCTTTGCTAAGTCTAAGGTTAGAGTATTGCTCATATCATTTGCAGAAATGATAGGACTCAATTTACATATCTGTTAGAAGTTTGTCTCAAACTCACAGCAAGTTTACCCTTTAGTCAATGGTTGCATACATAAAAAACTGTCAAGAGGATAGATTTGTATGCATGGAAATGATTGTACTTGTATTTGTGAAGAGTTGCACCTCATTTTGTGTACACATATATATTATGCAGTATATGCAGATTTTACAAAGGATGAAACAGTGTTTTCCATTCAGCATTTAAACCGGGTGTGCCGACCACCTTTCCATTTTAGGAGGTGGTCGGCTTTTTTTTCAAATTCCGGATTTTTTTCGGTTCTGCACCGTAAAAATTTAAATACTTATCGCGCCTCACATTTGTTTTCATCGACAAAAATGGCGGATAGTCAAATTTCAATGTTTTCTTTTTATTAATTTGGGGAAGAGAAAGGCAGGTGACGATGGTGATAAGGAAAATTCTATGCCAAATAAGTCAACTAAAACGGATAGTTGTATTGAAATTGTTGAAATTGAATAAAAAGTATCAAACAACGGAAAAGGCACGCAAGCGGTCGCGAAGATGAATATGTTGGGAACATCCCCCAAATGAGGGATATCCCTTAAATGAGGGACTGTCTCTCTGGCAAGAGGTCATGTCAATACTGTTGAAGAAAAGAAAAGAGAAAAACTTAGATTTTTTAACTTAAAAGGGGGAAAATCGTTATATTTGGAACAACTTTTTTAAAAGAGGGTCCATTTATTTTTAATGATAAAGCAGATATAAGTCCAGGAATATTACAAATTTCTTGGACATGTTTTGACCATATAATACCAAATAGATGTATAGTTCTTTGGGAAAAGTTTCTGTAAATAAAATAAATATGAGTTCATTTCGTGAAATGTACCCCTCATAAAAGGGGTAGTCATTACATTGAGAGTTAAACTACCCCTCATTTAAGGGGTTGTTACCAAGCTGATAAATATGAATAGGACTTTAAATGGCTAATCGGCACAGAAGGAGGATATTTCTGTTCTGTGTGCCAAAAATACAACACTAAAGCGAGGAACAGGACAGAAACTTGGATCGATAAGCAATGCATATGCAGGAGAAGGGAGTCCTGCAAAAGCCATATCTGCTATCCGAGATGCTAACAACTAATTTGTCAAATAAAAGGCTAGCAGTGATAGCAAAGAACGGTTCAATTTTATTAAATGTGAATACAATACTAATCCTTCTTTTTGTGTACCAAAAAACAGTAAAGTAAAACCGGGTTGGAAATGTTAACACAAAAATAAAAACCAACTGGTTGCAAGTGATTTTTTCAAAACACCCACCTTACCTTAGTGAAAAATGGAGAACACTGATGAAACCAAGTCAATTTTCACTATCATTCTTGATGGAGCAATACCATTTTGTGTAACTAATATAACTTCACCTACAGTTTTAACCAAGAGCCTTCAAACTTTCTAAAATGTTTTTATATACATTGAATATATGGACTTCACATTAAGTATACATTTGGATAAGTTTTGCAGATTTTCTAGAAGGTGAAACCTTCAGCAGCATTCTCTGTTTTACCCTTGTCCGTCTGTATGTACGTCCCAAAATTGGTTTCCGTTCTCTAACTTTAGTTTGCCTCAACCAAATGTTATGAAACTTATACACAATGCTTATTACCACAAAACACAGATCAAGTTTGAATTTTGGTGGCGTCACTTTTACCGTTCTAGAGATATGCCCCTTTTCAAATGAAAAAATTGCAGAATTTATCGTTTCCGTTCTCTAATAGATATAAGAAGATGTGGTATGAGTGCCAATGAGACAACTCTCCATCCAAGTCAAAATTTAAAAAAGTAACTTTAGTTTACCTCAACCAAATGTTATGAAACTTATACACAATGCTTATTACCACAAAACACAGATCAAGTTTGAATTTAGGTGGCGTCACTTTTACCGTTTTAGAGTTATGTCCATTTACAAATGGAAAAATTGCTGAATTTTTCGTTTCCGTTCTCTAATTTTAGTTTGCCTCAACCAAATATTATGAAACTTATACACAATGCTTATTACCACAAAACACAGATCAAGTTTGAATTTTAGTGGAGTCATTTAAACCGTTCTAGAGTTATGCCCCTTTATAAATGGAAAAATTGCAAAAATTTTATTTTCTTCTAAATATCAAGTAATTTTTAAAAATGGAGTTATCTTCCTTTGTCCATGATAACAGTTGAATCAACTACAATCAATGCTTTATACAATGCAATGTTTAATTTTGACTTCCACTGATAAAACACAGATCAAGTTGAATTTGGGTAGTGTCATTTTAACCATTATTGAGTTATGCCCCTTTATAAATCAAAAGATTGCAAAATTTTTAGTTTCCATTCTGTCACTTAAGTTTGCCCCAACCAAACATTATGAAACCTTTACACAATATTCATTACCACAAAACTAAGATCAAGTACAAATTTTTTGTTTCCGTTTTCTAACTTTAGTTTGCCTCAACCAAATGTTATGAAACTTATACACAATGATTATTACTACATAATACAGATTAAGAACGAAATTTGGTGGCAACACTTTTACCATTCTTGAGTTATGTCCCTTTATAAACATAAAAATTGCTGAATTTTTCGTTTCCATTCTCTAACTTTAGTTTGTCTCAACCAAATGTTATAAAACTTATACACAACTGTTCTAGAGTTATGCATGTTTACAAATAGAAAAATTGCTGAATTTTTAGTTTCTGTTCTCTACTTAAGTTAGCCTCAACCAAATGTTATGAGACTTACACACAATGCTTATTACTACAAAACTCAGATCAAGTTCAAATTTGGGTAGCGTCACTTTTACCGTTCTTCAGTTATGTCCCTTATATGATATGCAAGCGGGGGCATCATCTGTGTCCACATGTGGACACTATCCACATTTATTATGATATTATTTGGTTTAGCTAATGTATCCTGAGATGCTATTTTTGTCTCGCATGCGACTATAGACACAGAAGTCGTGGAAAACGAGACATAGGGATTGCTTTTCCTGAACGGCTGCATCGATGGTGTCAACAATTGTTAAGTTTTCTGCTTAAGTTAGTTTGATAGTAAATACTTGTGATAGATCATTGATATTTTGTATGAAGATGCATTACTATCAGTACATATAAGTTTGATAACAATTTGGAGCCCCTACCCGCTAGGCCATGGTCCAGTAACTTTAAATTAATTAGCCATTTTCAGTGTTAAGTTTTCTGCTTAAGTTAGTTTGATAGGAACTAATTGTGGGAGATTAATGATATTTTGTATGAAGTTGCATTACTATCAGTACATACATGTATCAGTTTGATGACTATTTTGAGGCCCTGCCCACTAGGCCATGGTTCAGTGACTTTCAATTAATTGGAAACTTTCAATGATAAGTTTTCTGCTTAAGTTAGTTTGATATGAACTACTTGCGATAGATCAATGATATTTTCTATAAAGTTGTATTACTATCAGTACTATCAGTTTGACGACTATTTCAAGGCCTTGCCCCCTAGGTAATGGTCCAGTGACTTTCAATCAATTAACAATTTTCAATGTTAAGTTTTCTGATTAAGTTAGTTTGATAGGAACTACTTACAATAGACAATATTTCTATAAAGTTACATTACTGTTTGTACATCTCAGTTTGTCAACCATTTCGAGGCCCTACCCACTAGTTGGTCCAGAGACTTTGAATTAATTAGCCATGTTGCTGTCCATCAGATTGTCTTTTTCTGAATTTTATGCTGACAGGCGAGACATATCTCTGTGTCAACAGTTTATCTTAGTTTTATAATTTGTAGAAGCAGTAGCTACATGTATGTCCTTTCCGTAAATGCTTGTGTTAAAACATGTAGTGGATATAATAGGTAGCTTGTTCAATTTAAATTGAAAATAAATCAAATAACAATGTTTTATTTTGTATGTTAAATACCTGTTTAATGTAATTTCTGTTTACAGTGAAAGGAAGTTCTGTTCCCTTGGTGATATATAAAGAGGAACAAGAGCCAATATTGCATGATCAACACTTTACTGTACTCTTACACTACCTTGGATTTCATACGCCACAGGATGTGGACATGATATTCCCCAGAATTCCAAGTTTCTGGACATCAGAGCAGCTGATTCAACAAGCAGAAAAACTGGGACCAATTAGTAAAGGTAATACCATTAAAGCTGTAAAAACATTAGCACATAGAATGAACTGACAGAACTGGATATGTGCATAGTGAGAATTAAAAGAAAGAACCGATACCTGTTTTAGCTAATTATAATATGACACAAAGGTCAATAAATGTACCTGTAATAGATTGCCTTTCTCTGTGAATATATTTATGATGTACTCGTTTTTGCAGGTTTCAAAAGCTTTTGAATTATACTAAGATTTTGGTATATTTTTAAATGGTTTGTGGACCAGTAAATATAAAGCACATGCAGAATGCAATAAATATGCAGAAGTTTATTAAATTCACACGAAACCAAAACTTTTCTGAAATTTTTCATCTATTTACAACAGATGAAAACAACATGTTTTTATTTTGATTCAGGTTGCACAAAGAATAATAACTTCTGCTCTTCATGCAAATTGTGATTGCCTCTAACTTTCATTTCATAAATTTTTTTGAAAAGCAGAATTCAATTTTATAATAAATATTTATTTTCAGATATTCTTAAGTTTGATCCAACATCTGTGAAATTTGAAGATGAACAGTTTACTTTCTCCACCAGAAAGAACGATACCACATACAGAAATTCCAAAGACATCTCAGTACAGTATGTACATTACTTGAGTTGATTTAATGGTGGGAAATGTCCCCAACAAAACATAAAGATAATAGTACTTTTTTTAATTGCCTGTAAGACATGTTAGAAAGGCAGGCATTTTGATTTGATGAATCAAAAGCATTCTAGAAAACCACCCATTTCATGAGTAAAAATTGTACAAATTCATATTGACTTACTTTTAGAATGATTTTTATTTAATTTCCAAGTGATTAACAACAACAGAAATGTCCATTTTGATCTCAAGCTGTTTAAAATATAATGGACGCTTGAAATTTGATGTCACGTACGTGTACCCCATGTTTTATTGGAATTAGAACATGGATTTGTTAATATTATAATTAAGGATAAAACATAGCAATGAATTAACTAAGCCAACCAACTGAAACATCTTTATTGTGTAATTTACAATAGATCAATACAGACCAATTGAATAATCAATTATTTTGTATACAGTAATATTCATTGACCATACAAAATTCTTGAAATCGTATGGTGTATCTTCAGGAATAACAATATTAAACCACATTATGCAATAGTTTTGACTTTTCATGAATTTGACTGCAGTACACTTGAGAATTTACTACTTTTCTTCTATATTGCAGACGTCCGATGACAGGTGGTGGAGACAACAACATTTTCTGGCTCAAACAGATTCAACAATACAACTTAACCAAGCAAAGGACAACTTCAAACTATGGTGAATGAAAGGTAATATTTTACTTTTAAACTCATTTGGAATATGTGAATGTTGAAAAAGAGGAGATAGACATATACATTTAAACCCTTAAACTCCAGTATCTAATAAACTGTTAACGCAGAGACATGTCTCGCCTTTTTATAATTTTGATAATGCAAATGTTGAAATTGAAATAGCAATACTTTAACATGTAAGTTAAGCAAATATTCAAAGTCAATGAACCATGACTGAAGGTACATGGCTGAACAATCTCCATCGAAATGAGATGTGCCAATGCTAATACAACTGCATACCAAATACCATTGACTTATCATTAGTCGTTCCCTTTAAACAAACCTAAACACACACATTAACTTGTAAACTATGAAAAAGTTTCGAAGTCAATGAACCATGATTAGGGGGTGGGGCTATATAATCTTGATGGAAACGAGACTTGCAAATGCCAATAAATTTGCAAACCAAATATCATTGACTTAACATTAGCAGTTCATCTTAAAATGACCTAATCACAAACCAATACATGTAAACTAAGCAAAAGTTTCAAAGTCAATAGACCATGACTGAGGGGGCAGGGCCAAATATTCTCCATGGAAATGAGATGTGCCAATGCTTATACAACTGCATACCAATTAACATTGGCCTTCCACTAATGATTCCCCTTGAACCGACCTAATCACAAACTAATACATGTAAACTAAGCAAAAGTTTCAAAGTCAATAGACCATGACTGAGGGGGCAGGGCCAAATAATCTCCATAGAAATGAGATATGCCAATGCTTATACAACTGCATACCAAATATCATTGACCTACCACTAGTGGTTCACCATAAACTAGACCTAATCACAAACTAATACATTGTTGACGCCGCCGTCGTTGACGCCGCAGTTGCCACTGGAAACAGTATACCTATGTCTCGCTTTTTGACTCCGCCAAGGCGAGACAAACACTGAAGAAAAAAAATTACATAGCATTAGATAAATAACTGTTTACACAAAAGTGGGCATTTTAAAGCAAAATTAATATATAAACATACAACTTCAAGATAATGAAACATAAGTTAATAATGGCTACAGAATGTTTTCATACCACAACATAGAAAGGAGGGGGTATACTGGTTTACATCTGTCTCTAGCCTGTCATTCTTATAAAATTCTGGTTGCATTTTTCTCAGGAACTAGATGATAGCTTCCTAAAATTTAGCATCAAGACCCATGTTAGTATTCTGTACTGAGTGATGCGTTTTCAAATTTCATCACTCGTCAACTTCCTGTTAATGGATTACTTATATATATTCTTACACATAATGACCATGTATGAAATTGTGGTCACATTTCTCAGGAACTACAAATCAGATCTTCCTGAGATTTGGTATCAAGCTGCATATGACTATGCTGTACTGTTTGATGTGTTTTTGCATCCATCACTTATCTTCCTGCGTATCAAATACTTATAGTGGGGGTATCATTAGCTACCAGTAGCTAATATTTCAACTTGTTTCTCCTGTTTTACTTGTACTGTAACATTATCAATTCTTTCAAAATTGGTAGGAATATTTTATTTATTGCATGTATTTTTTGGGGGGAAGTGGACAATAATGGTGGTCTTCTAGTCTTCCCATTCAATGTGAAGGTCATTTGCATTATGTTATGCTGGGGTCAGTATAAATCATGGAGTGTTAAAACAAACCAACCACATCTTAGTTATCGTTCCTTACCAGGAATTTATTAATTATTTAGTTTCAGTCAAGATCAGTTTTATACAACTTTTTATTCAATAAACAAACACAGTCACAAAAAGTAAATAAACTGAACTATGGTAATAAATGTATGTGACAATACACCGCTTCATCACAGCACCCTTTTACACTCAATGAGCAAAAAGTTGTGAAATTAGAAAAATACAGTAAACAACTACCTAAAACAAAAACACCTACTCAAATGAAAAATGTGATTTGGATCAATGTCTGGTAGGAGATAATGGCTGTGTTTGGATATACGCCAGAGGTGGCCTTTGGTTATCCATAGGTACCTTTGGTTTGATATTCTATATATCAAAATATCAAACCATTGGTACCCAAAGATACATATGGGTAACCATAGGCTGCCTTAGGCGTATATCCAAACACAGCCTATGGCTGTGTTTGGATATACGCCAGAGGTGGCCTGTGGTTATCCATAGGTACCTTTGGTTTGATATTCTATATATCAAAATATCAAACCATGGGTACCCAAAGATACCTATGGGTAACCATAGGCTGCCTTAGGCGTATATCCAAACACAGCCTATGTATAATAAGATTAAGTTTTGAGTTGTCTCCCCTTGATTGAATTCATGTCTGCTCTCCTTAACTCAAATTTTATCACTGTCCCATTGGTTTGGAGATAACAAAAGTCCAATGCATATCATGTATAAAATGTATATGGTAAAAATACAGATGAGTTTTATATGTAGTTATTACAAACCTGAGACTTTTAATTTATGTCATATTAGATTTAACTTATTTTCCAGATATCACACAACGACTTGCCAATTGGAAGTGAACTATATGTAACCTTGTTAAACCTTAAGCTGATAATAAAGATCAGTTACTAAGTGTTGTCCCATGTGAACTTTTTCTTCTTTTTACTATCCTGGCGATAGGATACATATCATTTGTATATTCGGACAACAGGAACAAATGTTAAAAAGATGTACTGAAAATATCAAGTGTTCAATACAAAGAAAATAATCTAATGAAAAATACAATTTGCAAACAAACTGAATCAAACAAATATCATGTTGTAAATTTTATTTTTCATTGTAGTGAATTCAGCATTTAAATGTGACTTATTCTTCAGTGTAAGAGGGAGCAATTGCTACTTTTATCTTTTTATGTGTGAATAATTGTGATCATTTGACTGGAACTCAGGTGTACCATGTAATTGTTTAACCATTGATGTTGTTAGGGTAGAATTAACCAGCTATGTGTTGTCAAGTGGAGTAATATACACAAAACAGATTTTATTCAGGAAAATTATAGTACAAGGGAAAATTGCTCAAGTCTCAAGTTGAATGTTTTATTTCAAGATTAGTTCTTTGTTGTTTGCTTAAAATTCAGCAGCAAAAAATACATTAATAATGAGGAGAATTTTGAATTAAGACCAGTTACTCTTAATATGATAATATTATGAGTAGTAAAAATATTGACACCTGTCATGGAAATGTGTTTAGTAATTTTAAGAACAATATCTTTCTCCTCTTACAGACCCTATTCCATCAACGTGTTTGATGAGATGATTCTGAGAGAAAATAGAAAAAAAAAAAAAAAAAATACCGAGATTAATCTGGTTTGAAACAAAAATATGATGGGTGCTATATGCTATGAAGACACATTCATGACAATATGAATTATCTTCACTGTGGTGTTAGTAAATCTCTGGGAAAAATGGCTATGTCCTTGCAATGATTTCTTACAGATGTATAATATTGCATATTGAAAAAAAATTGTGTAAACTTACTGACAGAATTTAGAATAGCCTAAATGATTTCCTGCATATTTTGTGATTTCTCATCAAAAGACAGTAGTCAAAACTTTGTGATATTTTCATACATTTCTGACATCTCAATCACTTTTGGCCTTTTTTCCTCCAAGCACAAGGCAGTACTGATGACATAGAAATACTGGGTGTCACCATGTATGTCCGTCTGTATGAACATCTGAAGGATTCATAAAATACTTTTAAATTTTGAATTCAAGGGGCCAAAAAAGTGACCTCCTTTAATTTGAGTCAAATTTTTTTAAAAGGTTAAAAAATACTTTTTTATGTGGTCACATAACGATTAGTTAATTTTATTATTTATACTGTATAATTTTAAGTTTTTAAATTATTTTAAGGTGTGAAGATTTGGTTTCAACTGATTATTTTTTAACCTTACTCGTACTAGTGCAATATTTAAATATATATATATATATATATATATAAAAGGTATTCTTAAAAAAATAATCAGGTTAATTAAATTTCATCAATTCATATTCAATTCATTAAGTTTACTGTTCAGCTTATTGTTCAAGTGAATAAATGTTTTGCACACAATGAATTTTCTATTGTATACTGTGAAGTGGTTAATTTTCAGGGATATTACTGGAGTAAGGGCAATAAACCCATATTTGGCTCCAAATTTAGTGCAAATTTTAAAGTCATCTTGCATGGTAAATTAATAAATTTGCTGTGGCAAGACTTTAAGGTAAATAGGTGTTTAGCAGTAAACAATTACAAATTAGTATAATTTGTAAAAAATTTTTGTTTTCCTTCATTTGTATGAACTTTTGAGTCTATTTGGATTAGAAAAGTATGATCTCACCAAAAAATGACTTAATAACTTTAAAAGATATTGATGTAATTTTGCTATGGCCAATGTTTTCACCAGGAAATATGTTGATGTAATATTGCTGTAGCCAATGTTTTCACTAGGGAATATGGATGGAAAAGTGGATGAAATCTGCATTTTTGTTTATTTTCGTGAACAATGTGTATACTTTTATGTAATAATGACATCATAATTTTGTAAATATTTTCTTATTTGTATATCTCTTAATTTATGCATTTTCCTTTATAATGAGCAAATAAGAATATATCTCAAAAACAGATTTTTCTTGTGCCAAATATGGGCCTTAATGCCCCTTCTTCTCCTTTGGTGATTTTTATGACCAAAACCAAACCTATTCACAAGGATTTATTTCTTGCTTTTTTATTAGTCCCCTACTGACGAAGTCGAAAGGGACTTTAGGTTTGCACTCTGTCCGTCTGTCTGTCCATCCGTCAGTCTGGCAAGTCAGTTTTCCACACTTTTTTTCTTCGTGCTTGAAGATATTGATCTGATATTTGATATATAGTTTTATCAAGACAAGTTACAGATCAAGTTCGGATTTTGTTCCGGTCTGATGATTTTTATCCAGAGTTATGGTCCTTGGACTTAAAAAATTCATTTCCGCACTTTTTTTCATCATGCTTGAAGATATTGATTTGATAACTGGTATATACTTTTATCAGGACAAGTTACAGATCAAGTTTAAATTTTGTTCTAGTCTGATGATTTTGTGAAGAGTTATGGTCCTTGGACTTAAAAAATCACCCTAATAATCAGTTTTCTGCCCTTTTTTTGTCATGCTTAGATATTGATTTGATAATTGGTATAAAGTTTTATCATGACAAGTTACAGACCAAATTCAAATTTTGTTCCGACCTGATGATTTTGTGCAGAGTTATCGTCCTTGGAATTGAAAAATTCACTCAAATAATCAGTTTTCGACAGTTTGTTTCGTCATGCTTAAAGATATTGACTTAATATTTGATATATAGTTTACACCATGACAAGTTATAGATCATGGTAGCATTTTGTTCCAGTACAATGAATTTTTAACCGGTAGGGGACTATGTATTGCCATGCAATACTCTCAGAATGCTTGTTTTATAATGTATAACCAAAATTAGAGAAAATAAACCTGTCTTGAAAAATTCCCACTTCACAGCATACCAGAGATGTTTAATGTTGATATTTGTTGTAATAAAAAACTAATAAATATATTATTCTAATAATAAAGTGTCTTGTGATTTAAAGAAAAGTTATGGTTATCATGTAAAGTTGTTCATTTTTGGAAAAGATAGAATGTTTGGTTAATGTAGATGAAACAACAATCTCATTTAATACTTCTAGAAACTATGAAGGACGCTTTAAAAAGATATCATTATGAATACAACTGAGTCATTCTTTATTCTTTCGTTTTTTCAATTTCAGTGAATTTGCTAGTATATAAAATTGTCTGATGATTCTAACAAACATTGTTTGTGTTTATCAAAGACCATTGATAGATTATATTATGGAAATTGAAATTTACCACCCATTTGTTAAAATGGGGTATAGATGCAAAGGGAGACAACATTGATAACATTAAAATAATATCAGAAAAAAAAAGTTAATTGTCAGTAACCACTGAATGCAAAGGAATCTGGAAGGGTCTACTGTGCAGACTAAACAAGAGCACACATGCTGAAATGTCTTGTCTGCTTTACTTATACGATTGAATTTATGTGGAAAGTCTATAATATGAAGGGTTTACTAGAAGTTTCACATAGACTTAACATTATCAGTGATCAGTGAAAATGAGGTTTTAGTCAGATGAACCATGCCAGACAGACATGTACACCTTACAAGAGGGTCGTAATGGGGGTACCTTCATGACGAATAATGGTAAAAATTCTTGCCTAATGACGTTAACGGTAATTTTTGCTGCATGACGATAAAATGTACACTTTCTTTTAGACGTTAAAAAAATCGATAGATTTTGACGAATCACGTTATTTTTTTCAAAAAATAACGGTAACGATAATTATTTGAGACCTCTGACGAATCACGACAAGGATATTTTGACGAATCACGATAAAATTTTAACCAATATGACGCTAACGGTAGCCGAAAAATGACAGTTTGACGCCTGACGGTAAAGGGCATTACTACCCCGGCCTCTTACAATCATTCCATATACCAAATATTGTTGACCTATGGCTTATAGTATCTGATAAACTGACATAACCACCTAAAATTAACCAATGAATTATGAAAATTAGGTCAAGGTGTTATGAACCATACCAGACAGACATGTACACGTTACAATCATTCCATACACCAAATATAATTGACCTATTGCTTATAGTATCTGATAAACTGACCAATGAACCATGCAAATAAGGTCAAGGCCTTATGAAAAGTGCCAGACACACATGAACACCTTATAATCATTCCATACTCAACACATAGTGGCCCTATTGCTTATTGTATCTGAGAAATAGACCAAACCACAAAAACTAAACATTGTCTAATGAACCATGAAAATGAGGTGAAGGTCAGATGATACCTGCCAGTTGGACATGTTCACCTTTCAATCATTCCATACATCTAATATAGTTGACCTATTGCTTATACTAGTATCTGAGATACGGACTTTACCACGAAAACTTAACCAATATCACTGATCCATGAAATGAGGCCGAGTTGACCCTGTTTGACAGACATGCAGACCTTTCACTGAACCCATATACATGTACCAAATATAGTACTCCTTTTACTCATAATAAGTATTTCATGAAATAAAACTTAATTTTTTTTCAAGAAGTCACTGAACCATGAAAATAAGGTCAAGGACAATAGATATATGACAAACGGAAACTTCGTTACATAAGATATCTGCGTACAATATATGAATCATCCAGGTCGTCTACCTTCTGAAATATAAAGCTTTATACAAATAGTTTATGCCGTCGCCGCCGCTGCCGTGTTGTAATCCCAATGTCACGCATTCTGCGAGTTTCGTCGCAGGCTGTTTGATGGGATGAATGAATGACAAACTAACATGTGTATGAATTGAAAACTGTCATTTATCATCAAAATGAAGATGTATTTTCATATGACTTACATCTGGGACTATTATACTAATATTAGTATAATAGTCCCAGCTTACATGTACATTGTAACAAGAGTTATGCTACTTTTGGCAGTAGTCAAGTTTGCAAAAAAAAAATTAAAAAATTAGTAAGACAAGAGTGCGTCTGCTTTACTTATCTTGATTGAATTTCATACCGAATATAGTTAGACTATAGCTTATAGTATCCGAGAAACAGACGTAATTACAAAAATTGAATATTGACCAATGAACCATAAAAATGAGATAAAGGTCAGATGAACCCTGCCATACAACATGCAATCACTCCATACAGTTTATAGTTGACCTATTGCTTATAGTTACTGAGAAACGGACATAACAATGAAAAACTAAAATTGACCGTATGACCTTCAAGGTCAGGGGAAATCTGCAATGCAGACATTTATACCTTACAATCATTCCTTCATTTGATATAGTGGCCCTATTGCTTATAGTATCTGACAAACAGACCAGATCAGAAAAAAATATCGTCAAATGAAATCTGACATGTACACCTTCCAATAATTCCTAAAACCAAATACAACTTATATTGCTTATAGTATCCGAGAAACAGACCAAACCACGAAAACTTTACATTGACAAATGAACATGAGGTCAATGTATGATGAAACCTGCCAGTCTGACATGTACACCTTACAATTATTCAACACACCAAATATAGTTGACCTATACTATCCGAGATACGGACTTGACCTCGAAACTTTAACCTTGATCACTGATCTAAGAAATAATGTCGAGGTCAATTGAACCCTGTCTGACGGACATGTAGACCATGCAAGGATCCCGGAAACCAAATATAGTTAGTCGATTACTCATAATAAGTGAGTATTTTGCATGAAAAAAAAAAAACAAGTTTTTTTTTTTCAAGCAGTTGCTGAACCATGAATATGAGGTCAAGGATAATGGTCATATGACAGACGAATACTTCGTTACATAAGGATCTGCATACATAGTGTGTAGCATCCAGGGCTTCTATCTTAAGTATAAAGCTTTATACAAATAGTTTACGTCGTCGCCATGGGATTGTAATCTCTACGTCTCGCATTCTGCGACTTTCGTCACAGGCGAGACAAAAAATAATATTTTGGGGAATGTTGTATCACGTTTCATGTAAGTATGCTATATTATACCGTGTGAGGAGTTGACATCAACTGCTTATCAACTTCATATTTACCGAAAACCTGTATATTCTTACACATAATGGCTATCTATGAAATGTATGTAGTATTTTCTCAGTACAAACCAGAGCTTCCTCAAATTTAATGCCAAGCTTCATATAAGCATACTGTACCGTGTAAAATGTTTTCATGTATACTTCTTGTTTTTCGAATACTTATAACGAGGGTATCATTATCAGTCAGCAACAGATCACAATTCATCTTGTTTAGTGATGTAAACAATAAGTTTTATTCTTTTTACCATTGTTTTTTCAAGTCGGCGGTATATAGTGATTGTCGAGTCCGTCCGTCTGTCTCACTTTTGAATCCGCAACCGATCCTGAACCATTAGACAGAATTTTGTTAATCTTTCACAGAATTTTACTCACATCATGTACTGTTGCACCACCTTTTTCTTTTTCATCTCTTCGTGTGAATATTCTTTTTTTGGGGGGGACATGGACTTCGTCATATCAGCAAACTACCGTCTAACACATATAATGCTATTTTGCAATTTCGGTTTTGTATTTTATCAGAATAAATTGTTGGGGTTTCCCTTCCCTTATAAAAACATGGACTTAATTATTAGGGGTTACCATTATCAGAACCATTTTTAGGATTTCCCTGTGCAAATCCTGGACTTAGTAATGAGCGGGGTATTATTTTTACTCGCAGTACTTCTTGTTTGGTGTAAAATTAATTTATTTTTGTATAGAACAGAGTTTGTGATTGTTATCTTTTTTTATTTCAATAAATGCATAAACTCCGCGAGAAACAAAATCTGCAACCTCGCGCGACACTCTAAATTGAAAATAAATCGGAATTGCGTTACTAAAAATAAATTTTATTCAGAAACTAAAATTGCATCTAATTTTAAGTCCAAGAAACTGTGACCATAGAAGAGAAGAAAACGGAACACTAGTTACGTCTGTTTTGATTGCGGGAGATTGATAATTAATCGATACCTGCCGTGCAATATAGGATCAAGAACCAAAAACTCTTAAAACAAGAATAACAAGTTGCTTTTTTAAAAAAAAAGTCAATACGTGAACCTTAGGACTTTTTTATGCTTATTATTATTTCAACTGAATTGTAAATTATATCTCAGTATTTTCATTACCATGTGTGTGGGGGATAATATTTTCTTTTTATTGCAAATCAGGACAATTATGGCATGTTGAGAGTGGTGTTAAATATAAAGTAGGGAGATAAGGAATGTTTTAATTTCAATAGTTCATTTCTGGATGGTGCTAGCTTTCATTTTTATTATTGTGTGAAAGGGAAAACTACTAGCAATGGATGACACTTCTAGGGTGTTTATTGGTAGAGGTAATATTTCAACTAGAATCCCTCAGTAATTTTATATATTTTTTTTTTTAAAAATACATATTTCAGAGCAAGTACGATATTTTGTTTCATAAAATGTGAAAGTTTTATTGCTACCAAATAATACAAAATCTACTTGCTTACCATTTTATTTTGTGTCGTAAAAAATCCACCTTAGAAATGGGTTTGGGTCCCGCTAATACATTCAATTTGCTGCTTATACATATATACTTAATATACCTGTCCAAATCCTGAGCCTGTTTTTTTTTTTTTTGTATAAAAATATTGCCATTGATGTATATCTTGTACAACACTGGTCAATTTGATGTCATTTAGCTCGCTTTGCTAAGACTCAACATTCAACGCCATGTTTATTGAAAGTTCTCTCATTGGCAAGCATAGTTTACCAAATATTATATAATCATATCAGTCGCAGGATAATTCGATTATTATGAAATGCGGTTCCTTAAATCAACATACGTAATAAATCTCAAAACTTTACACTGTTTTTTGCTAACTTATGTTTGTTGCCTATAATTCAGAAATTTAACAGTGTTTTGGGATTTTTTGCTTAAAGTTAACTTTTTAAGCATGGGTCCCTTTTCAAAAGTCTCCCAACT